GTGTCGTCACCGGGTGGATCTATGGGTCACGTCACGTGGATCTATGGGTCACGTCACGTGGATCTGTGGGTCACGTCACGTGGATCTATGGGTCACGCCACGTGAATCTATGGGTCACGTCACGTGGATCTATGGGTCACGTCACGTGGATCTGTGGGTCACGTCACGTGGATCTGTGGGTCACGCCACGTGAATCTATGGGTCACGCCACGTGAATCTATGGGTCACGTCACGTGGATCTATGGGTCACGTCACGTGGATCTGTGGGTCACGTCACGTGGATCTGTGGGTCACGTTACGTGGATCTATGGGTCACGCCACGTGAATCTATGGGTCACGTCACGTGGATCTATGGGTCACGTCACGTGGATCTGTGGGTCACGTCACGTGGATCTATGGGTCACGTCACGTGGATCTGTGGGTCACGTCACGTGGATCTATGGGTCACGCCACGTGAATCTATGGGTCACGTCACGTGGATCTATGGGTCACGTCACGTGGATCTGTGGGTCACGTCACGTGGATCTGTGGGTCACGTTACGTGGATCTATGGGTCACGCCACGTGAATCTATGGGTCACGTCACGTGGATCTATAGGTCACGTTACGTGGATCTATAGGTCACGTCACGTGGATGCATGGGTCACGTCACGTGGATCTGTGGGTCACGTCACGTGGATCTATGGGTCACGCCACGTGGATCTATGGGTCACGCCACGTGAATCTATGGGTCACGTCACGTGGATCTATGGGTCACATCACGTGGATCTATAGGTCACGTGGATCTATAGGTCACGTCACGTGGATCTATAGGTCACGCCACGTGGATCTATGGGTCACGTCACGTGGATCTATGGGTCACGTTACGTGGATCTATGGGTCACGTCACGTGGATCTATGGGTCACGTCACGTGGATCTATGGGTCACGTCACGTGGATCTATGGGTCACATCACGTGGATCTATGGGTCACGTCACGTGGATGTATGGGTCTCGTCACGTGGATCTATGGATCACGTTACGTGGATCTATAGGTCACGTCACGTGGATGTATGGGTCAAGGGGTCACGTCACGTGGATCTATGTGAGGTTAGGGTTGCGTGTGTCACCACACTGTGTGGTTAGGGTTGCGTGTGTCACCAGGCTGTGTGGTTAGGGTTGCGTGTGTCACTCACCAGCCTCTGTGGTTGGGGTTGCGTGTGTCACCACCCTGTGTGGTTAGGGTTGCGTGTGTCACCACACTGTGTGGTTATGGTTGCGTGTGTCACCACACTGTGTGGTTAGGGTTGCGTGTGTCACCACACTGTGTGGTTAGGGTTGCGTGTGTCACCAGGCTGTGTGGTTAGGGTTGCGTGTGTCACCAGGCTGTGTGGTTAGGGTTGCGTGTGTCACCACACTGTGTGGTTATGGTTGCGTGTGTCACCAGGCTGTGTGGTTAGGGTTGCGTGTGTCACCAGGCTGTGTGGTTAGGGTTGCGTGTGTCACCAGGCTGTGTGGTTAGGGTTGCGTGTGTCACCACACTGTGTGGTTAGGGTTGCGTGTGTCACCAGGCTGTGTGGTTAGGGTTGCGTGTGTCACCACACTGTGTGGTTATGGTTGCGTGTGTCACCACACTGTGTGGTTATGGTTGCGTGTGTCACCACCCTGTGTGGTTAGGGTTGCGTGTGTCACCACCCTGTGTGGTTAGGGTTGCGTGTGTCACCAGGCTGTGTGGTTAGGGTTGCGTGTGTCACCACACTGTGTGGTTATGGTTGCGTGTGTCACCACCCTGTGTGGTTAGGGTTGCGTGTGTCACCACCCTGTGTGGTTAGGGTTGCGTGTGTCACCACCCTGTGTGGTTAGGGTTGCTTGTGTCACTCACCAGCCTGTGTGGTTAGGGTTGCGTGTGTCACCACCCTGTGTGGTTAGGGTTGCGTGTGTCACCACACTGTGTGGTTAGGGTTGCGTGTGTCACCACACTGTGTGGTTAGGGTTGCGTGTGTCACCAGGCTGTGTGGTTAGGGTTGCGTGTGTCACCACACTGTCACCACACTGACCCCGACATGCCAGCAACAATACCTGGGACAGCCCACGGGTCGGCCTCTATTCGTTGTTTATTCGACCGTAACCGAGACGCGTTCGTGCCTGGTCACAGTTGATTGATTTCAGAACTTGGTCGTCAATACAAAACCAATATGTCACCACACATTTCATGTAGTGACAGTGGTGTTGTGTCAATACAAAACCAATATGTCACCCACACATTTCATGTAGTGACAGTGGTGTTGTGTCAATACAAAACCAATATGTCACCCACACATTTCATGTAGTGACAGTGGTGTTGTGTCAATACAAAACCAATATGTCACCCACACATTTCATGTAGTAACAGTGGTGTTGTGTCAATACAAAACCAATATGTCACCCACACATTTCATGTAGTGACAGTGGTGTTTTAGGCACGAAGAAAAGTTTTTCGTCTGGCCTTCAATCTGGGAACAACGAGAAAACATTTTTATGATGTCAACACACCCCCTGTGCTATCAACACACCCCCTGTGATATCAACACACCCCCTGTGCTATCAACACACCCCCTGTGATATCAACACACCCCCTGTGATATCCACACACCCACCCTGTGTTATCAACACACCCCCTATCATTTACCACCGAGGCGACAACTGATCCACCCACCCCACCTCCTGCTGTGACCTCCCGTTGTTCCCCATTAGGCTAATCCCCTAAAACCAGGGATCAGGAACTCAGGCAATAGCTCCTGGGTGATCAGATATTCTCGCAGGTAAATACCCCGCTAGCCCGCTACAAGTGTTTGCCGAGGCTCGAGTTATGCGCCACCCCCCTATCGTGCCTCCTTTTATCGTACCGCTGATTACCTCCCCTCTATCTTGCCTCTGATTACCTTCCCTCTATCTTGCCTCTGATTACCTCCCCTCTATCTTGCCTCGATTACCTCCCCTCTATCTTGCCTCTGATTACCTCCCCTCTATCTTGCCTCTGATTACCTCCCCTCTATCTTGCCTCTGATTACCTCCCCTATATCGTACCGCTTATTACCTCCCCTCTATCTTGCCTCTGATTACTTCCCCTCTATCTTGCCTCTGATTACCTTCCCTCTATCTTGCCTCTGATTACCTCCCCTCTATCTTGCCTCTGATTACCTTCCCTCTATCTTGCCTCTGATTACCTCCCCTCTATCTTGCCTCTGATTACCTCCCCTCTATCTTGCCTCTGATTACCTCCCCTCTATCTTGCCTCTGATTACCTCCCCTCTATCTTGCCTCTGATTACCTCCCCTCTATCTTGCCTCTGATTACCTCCCCTCTATCTTGCCTCTGATTACCTCCCCTATATCGTACCGCTTATTACCTCCCCTCTATCTTGCCTCTGATTACTTCCCCTCTATCTTGCCTCTGATTACCTTCCCTCTATCTTGCCTCTGATTACCTCCCCTCTATCTTGCCTCTGATTACCTTCCCTCTATCTTGCCTCTGATTACCTCCCCTCTATCTTGCCTCTGATTACCTCCCCTCTATTGTGCCTCTGATTACCTCCCCTCTATCGTGCCTCTGATTACCTCCCCTCTATCTTGCCTCTGATTACCTCCCCTCTATCGTACCGCTTATTACCTCCCCTCTATCGTACCGCTTATTACCTCCCCTATATCGTACCGCTTATTACCTCCCCTCTATCTTGCCTCTGATTACCTCCCCTCTATCTTGCCTCTGATTACCTCCCCTCTATCTTGCCTCCTATTACCTCCCCTCTATCTACCTTGCCTCTGATTACCTCCCCTCTATCTTGCCTCTGATTACCTCCCCTCTATCTATCTTGCCTCTGATTACCTCCCCTCTATCTACCTTGCCTCTGATTACCTCCCCTCTATCTTGCCTCTGATTACCTCCCCTCTATCTATCTTGCCTCTGATTACCTCCCCTCTATCGAACTTGTGGTTATCGGCCACCGGTGTGGTGACAGTGATATCCCCGTGTCGTAACTTTCCTACAGTACCGGCTGTCTTTGTGTGGAATGTTTGTTGAAACTATTTGAATGTCATTAGTGCTGGATCTCAAATTGTTGAAACTATTTGAAATTCATTAGTGCTGGATCTCAAATTGTTGTGTCCTAGCACACACTACCCCACCCACATAGTGCACAGCACACTACCCCCACCCCACCCACATAGTGCACAGCACACTACCCCCACCCCACCCACATAGTGCACAGCACACTACCCCCACCCCACCCACATAGCGCACAGCACACTACACCACCCCACATAGCGCACAGCACACTACCCCCACCCTACCCATATAGCGCACAGCACACTACCCCATCCACATAGGGCACAGCACACTACCCCCACCCACATAGGGCACATCACACTACCCCCACCCCACCCACATAGCGCACAGCACACTACCCCACCCTCATAGCGCACAGCACACTACCCCCACCCACATAGGGCACATCACACTACCCCCACCCCACCCACATAGCGCACAGCACACTACCCCCACCCCACCCACATAGCGCACAGCACACTACCCCACCCACATAGGGCACAGCACACTACCCCCAACCCACCCACATAGTGCACAGCACACTACCCCCACCCACATAGGGCACATCACACTACCCCCACCCCACCCACATAGCGCACAGCACACTACTCCACCCACATAGGGCACAGCACACTACCCCACCCACATAGGGCACAGCACACTACCCCACCCACATAGGGCACAGCACACTACCCCACCCACATAGGGCACAGCACACTACCCCACCCACATAGGGCACAGCACACCAAACAGCACTTCTAAACAATTTGTAGACTGTCTTAGAAGTTTGACAGTTGAAAATTGTGTAAGATTTCTAAACAATTTGTAGACTGAAGTTTGACAGTTTAAAATTGTGTAAGATTTCTAAACAATTTGTAGACTGTCTCTGAAGTTTGACAGTTGACAATCGTCCAGTCAAACAGCTCTGTGTTACTTTCAGGCAGATGAGAGAAAGCGCTATGTAGCCATCAGCTGTGGAAGCTCCGCCTGTCCCAAGCAGCTGCCCCGCCCCCAGGCTGACCATGCGATGGAGGAGAGCCTCTTGACCAGCACAGATTTGTCCACACGGTACATGGACTATCCACCCACCAAGCCTTTCATCAACACAGATTTGACAAGAATGGACAGACCAGTAGACTCGTTCCCCACGTGTGGGAGAGATGGTAATTGGATGGTCAACTTGTAGTCCCTCCCCCATCAACTTGTAGTCCCTCCCCCATCAACTTGTAGTCCCTCCCCCATCAACTTATGGTCACTGGTAGTCTCTCCTCCATCAACTGTTGTACTGATGTGTTGATTGGTGTGGTCATCTCTCTGTTGTACTGATGTGTTGATTGGTGTGGTCATCTCTCCTCTGTTGTACTGATGTGTTGATTGGTGTGGTCATCTCTCCTCTGTTGTACTGATGTGTTGATTGGTGTGGTCATCTCTCTGTTGTACTGATGTGTTGATTGGTGTGGTCATCTCTCTGTTGTACTGATGTGTTGATTGGTGTGGTCATCTCTCTGTTGTAATGATGTGTTGATTGGTGTGGTCATCTCTCCTCTGTTGTACTGATGTGTTGATTGGTGTAGTCATCTCTCTGTTGTACTGATGTGTTGATTGGTGTGGTCATCTCTCCTCTGTTGTACTGATGTGTTGATTGGTGTGGTCATCTCTCCTCTGTTGTACTGATGTGTTGATTGGTGTGGTCATCTCTCCTCTGTTGTACTGATGTGTTGATTGGTGTGGTCATCTCTCCTCTGTTGTACTGATGTGTTGATTGGTGTGGTCATCTCTCTGTTGTACTGATGTGTTGATTGGTGTGGTCATCTCTCTGTTGTACTGATGTGTTGATTGGTGTGGTCATCTCTCCTCTGTTGTACTGATGTGTTGATTGGTGTGGTCATCTCTCCTCTGTTGTGCTGATGTGTTGATTGGTGTGGTCATCTCTCCTCTGTTGTACTGATGTGTTGATTGGTGTGGTCATCTCTCCTCTGTTGTACTGATGTGTTGATTGGTGTGGTCATCTCTCTGTTGTACTGATGTGTTGATTGGTGTGGTCATCTCTCTGTTGTACTGATGTGTTGATTGGTGTGGTCATCTCTCTGTTGTAATGATGTGTTGATTGGTGTGGTCATCTCTCCTCTGTTGTACTGATGTGTTGATTGGTGTAGTCATCTCTCTGTTGTACTGATGTGTTGATTGGTGTGGTCATCTCTCCTCTGTTGTACTGATGTGTTGATTGGTGTGGTCATCTCTCCTCTGTTGTACTGATGTGTTGATTGGTGTGGTCATCTCTCCTCTGTTGTACTGATGTGTTGATTGGTGTGGTCATCTCTCCTCTGTTGTACTGATGTGTTGATTGGTGTGGTCATCTCTCTGTTGTACTGATGTGTTGATTGGTGTGGTCATCTCTCTGTTGTACTGATGTGTTGATTGGTGTGGTCATCTCTCCTCTGTTGTACTGATGTGTTGATTGGTGTGGTCATCTCTCCTCTGTTGTGCTGATGTGTTGATTGGTGTGGTCATCTCTCCTCTGTTGTACTGATGTGTTGATTGGTGTGGTCATCTCTCCTCTGTTGTACTGATGTGTTGATTGGTGTGGTCATCTCTCCTCTGTTGTAATGATGTGTTGATTGGTGTGGTCATCTCTCCTCTGTTGTACTGATGTGTTGATTGGTGTGGTCATCTCTCCTCTGTTGTACTGATGTGTTGATTGGTGTGGTCATCTCTCTGTTGTACTGATGTGTTGATTGGTGTGGTCATCTCTCCTCTGTTGTACTGATGTGTTGATTGGTGTGGTCATCTCTCTGTTGTACTGATGTGTTGATTGGTGTGGTCATCTCTCCTCTGTTGTAATGATGTGTTGATTGGTGTGGTCATCTCTCCTCTGTTGTACTGATGTGTTGATTGGTGTGGTCATCTCTCCTCTGTTGTACTGATGTGTTGATTGGTGTGGTCATCTCTCTGTTGTACTGATGTGTTGATTGGTGTGGTCATCTCTCCTCTGTTGTACTGATGTGTTGATTGGTGTGGTCATCTCTCTGTTGTACTGATGTGTTGATTGGTGTGGTCATCTCTCCTCTGTTGTACTGATGTGTTGATTGGTGTGGTCATCTCTCTGTTGTACTGATGTGTTGATTGGTGTGGTCATCTCTCCTCTGTTGTACTGATGTGTTGATTGGTGTGGTCATCTCTCTGTTGTACTGATGTGTTGATTGGTGTGGTCATCTCTCTGTTGTACTGATGTGTTGATTGGTGTGGTCATCTCTCCTCTGTTGTACTGATGTGTTGATTGGTGTGGTCATCTCTCTGTTGTACTGATGTGTTGATTGGTGTGGTCATCTCTCTGTTGTACTGATGTGTTGATTGGTGTGGTCATCTCTCCTCTGTTGTACTGATGTGTTGATTGGTGTGGTCATCTCTCTGTTGTACTGATGTGTTGATTGGTGTGGTCATCTCTCTGTTGTACTGATGTGTTGATTGGTGTGGTCATCTCTCTGTTGTACTGATGTGTTGATTGGTGTGGTCATCTCTCTGTTGTACTGATGTGTTGATTGGTGTGGTCATCTCTCTGTTGTACTGATGTGTTGATTGGTGTGGTCATCTCTCCTCTGTTGTACTGATGTGTTGATTGGTGTGGTCATCTCTCTGTTGTACTGATGTGTTGATTGGTGTGGTCATCTCTCCTCTGTTGTACTGATGTGTTGATTGGTGTGGTCATCTCTCCTCTGTTGTACTGATGTGTTGATTGGTGTGGTCATCTCTCCTCTATTGTACTGATGTGTTGATTGGTGTGGTCATCTCTCCTCTGTTGTACTGATGTGTTGATTGGTGTGGTCATCTCTCCTCTATTGTACTGATGTGTTGATTGGTGTGGTCATCTCTCCTCTGTTGTACTGATGTGTTGATTGGTGTGGTCATCTCTCCTCTGTTGTACTGATGTGTTGATCGGTGTGGTCATCTCTCTGTTGTACTGATGTGTTGATTGGTGTGGTCATCTCTCTGTTGTACTGATGTGTTGATTGGTGTGGTCATCTCTCTGTTGTACTGATGTGTTGATTGGTGTGGTCATCTCTCCTCTGTTGTACTGATGTGTTGATTGGTGTGGTCATCTCTCCTCTGTTGTACTGATGTGTTGATTGGTGTGGTCATCTCTCTGTTGTACTGATGTGTTGATTGGTGTGGTCATCTCTCTGTTGTACTGATGTGTTGATTGGTGTGGTCATCTCTCTGTTGTACTGATGTGTTGATTGGTGTGGTCATCTCTCTGTTGTACTGATGTGTTGATTGGTGTGGTCATCTCTCTGTTGTACTGATGTGTTGATTGGTGTGGTCATCTCTCCTCTGTTGTACTGATGTGTTGATTGGTGTGGTCATCTCTCTGTTGTACTGATGTGTTGATTGGTGTGGTCATCTCTCCTCTGTTGTACTGATGTGTTGATTGGTGTGGTCATCTCTCCTCTGTTGTACTGATGTGTTGATTGGTGTGGTCATCTCTCTGTTGTACTGATGTGTTGATTGGTGTGGTCATCTCTCTGTTGTACTGATGTGTTGATTGGTGTGGTCATCTCTCTGTTGTACTGATGTGTTGATTGGTGTGGTCATCTCTCCTCTGTTGTACTGATGTGTTGATTGGTGTGGTCATCTCTCTGTTGTACTGATGTGTTGATTGGTGTGGTCATCTCTCCTCTGTTGTACTGATGTGTTGATTGGTGTGGTCATCTCTCTGTTGTACTGATGTGTTGATTGGTGTGGTCATCTCTCCTCTGTTGTACTGATGTGTTGATTGGTGTGGTCATCTCTCCTCTGTTGTACTGATGTGTTGATTGGTGTGGTCATCTCTCTGTTGTACTGATGTGTTGATTGGTGTGGTCATCTCTCCTCTGTTGTACTGATGTGTTGATTGGTGTGGTCATCTCTCTGTTGTACTGATGTGTTGATTGGTGTGGTCATCTCTCTGTTGTACTGATGTGTTGATTGATGTGGTCATCTCTCTGTTGTACTGATGTGTTGATTCGTGTGGTCATCTCTCTGTTGTACTGATGTGTTGATTGGTGTGGTCATCTCTCCTGTCCAGATGTCATCTCAGCTCTCCACAAAATTCGTGACAAGATGAGAAAGTTGGAGCTGGAGAGGACAGCGTCTGAACAAAGGTTGGCGTCTGATCAGATGCACGGCTACACCAGTGACTTAGTGTCTGATAGAAGGCTGGCTGCACAAGAGCACAACGGCTACCCCAGTGATTTCCACAAGTACCCAGTTGTTACCTCAGACAGAGAAGCACCAACTGACAGCCAACCCACTGGTAAGCAACAGCTGGACAGAGTTAACATAAAGATGTATGTATGTTCATTTTAAATGTTACTAGACAACCTGGTTTTCCTTGGGATAAGTGTCTGCTACCTTACTACCACAACCCTCTAGCCATTTTTCCATCCATCACTCCCAGCCACAACACCACTACCACATGCATTTAAATGAAAATCTTATTTGTTGCGGAAAACTTTTGTGCACAACGAAGATATGTATCAAATTGATAAACTGCTTTCCAAAGGACCATTGCTGTGTCTTGTAATATAAGTATACTTAATGTTTAGTTGAACATGTCAGTGTTTACCTAATGTTTAGTTGAACATGTCAGTGTTTACCTAATGTTTAGTTGAACATGTCAATGTTTACCTAATGTTTAGTTGAACATGTCATTGTTTACCTAATGTTTAGTTGAACATGTCAATGTTTACCTAATGTTTAGTTGAACATGTCAATGTTTACCTAATGTTTAGTTGAAGATGTCAATGTTTACCTAATGTTTAGTTGAACATGTCATTGTTTACCTAATGTTTAGTTGAACATGTCAATGTTTACCTAATGTTTAGTTGAACATGTCAATGTTTACCTAATGTTTAGTTGAACATATCAATGTTGACCTAATGTTTAGTTGAACATGTCAATGTTGACCTAAAGTTTAGTTGAATATGTCAATGTTTACCTAATGTTTAGTTGAACATATCAATGTTGACCTAATGTTTAGTTGAACATGTCAATGTTTACCTAAAGTTTAGTTGAATATGTCAATGTTAGCTGAACATGTCATTGTTTACCTAATGTTTAGTTGAACATGTCAATGTTTACCTAATGTTTAGTTGAACATGTCAATGTTTACCTAATGTTTAGTTGAACATATCAATGTTGACCTAATGTTTAGTTGAACATGTCAATGTTGACCTAAAGTTTAGTTGAATATGTCAATGTTTACCTAATGTTTAGTTGAACATATCAATGTTGACCTAATGTTTAGTTGAACATGTCAATGTTTACCTAAAGTTTAGTTGAATATGTCAATGTTAGCTGAACATGTCAATGTTTACCTAATGTTTAGTTGAACTTGTCAATGTTTACCTAATGTTTAGTTGAACATGTCAATGTTTACCTAATGTTTAGTTGAACATGTCAATGTTTACCTAATGTTTAGTTGAACATGTCAATGTTTACCTTGACCCAGCAGACAAGACTGGCCAGCTGTTTTCTGCTGAAAGACGCATGCGAGTTCTGGGACAGCAGCTGGAAGACTTGCAGCATTTAATCAGGAACTCTGAGCAGAAGCGCAAGGATCTGGATGAGAAGGCATTGAGAAGTCACCAAGAGCGAGAGTTGGGTGACATAGATGTCAACATACACATGGAGCGCTTGAGTGAACTAGAACGGGATCAGGCAAGGCTTACGGCCACACAGTCTTTAGCAGAGGTGAGGCACAGGCCAAATTTGTTGACAATTAGCTTAGGCAGCTTTTTGTATACCCTAAACATGCACATTTGGTTTTTTGTTTTAGATCAACTTTTAAATGTCAAATCCATCTTGACTAATTCAAATTTTGCAGTGAAGCTTTTAGTAGCTGAGGATTTGAGTGAATACAATGTTGTTCTGTAGCTATGTGAGGATTTGATTGGATACATTGTTGTTTTGTAGCTGTTGCTGTGAAAGTGCCTAATAAAAGATTTTAATCAATAACTTAAACATTTCTTTGAACTCATCAGAGGCAAATTTTTGACGAGGCACTTCCTGAGGTACTGTGGGCTTTGTTTTGTAACTTGTAGAGTGTGTTTGCCATGTAACCGCTTGCTGCTAACAAAGTTTTGCTTTAATTAGTTCTCTTTGTAGTGTGATTACTTTCAATTAGTTTTCTGCCTAATGTGTGAACTTTCAATTAATTTTCTGCATAATGTGATTTCTTTCAATTAGTTTTCTGCCTAATGTGTGAACTTTCAATTAATTTTCTGTATAATGTGATTTCTTTCAATTAGTTTTCTGCGTAACTGTGATATTTGTTTGTGAGTGTAGAACATCACGGCTTAAGTTTGATTGTAAGAAGTTGAGAATGTATTCTCATAGTTGAAGGTTTGAGCCGCATTGTTAAACATTGGACAAACTGGATAATCTTAAAGAAGGTTTGACTTGATTATTGGGTTAAAGGTCTGGGTCCCATTGTTTAACTTGTGTTTGTATTTCATTATCATATATAACAATCTCTACTTTTTAAACCTTTCTTAACTAAAAAATATGTCAATTTTCTTATTTTCCATTCAACATAACACTAAATAAACATTAAAAAAGGTAAAGCTGTTCATGATTCTCACCATTTTGTCCTGTGATTTAATATTAATGATAACACCTGGTATTTAAACTTACCATAATTTTCACAGTTCAGGTCAGATAATGAGTCAAGCTGTAGCATTTTTGTTTAGTTTTATACTAGATCTACAAAGATTTCATGTATGTACTAGCTGATTATCAAATTCAGATCTAGTTCTTGTGATTTGAAGTTATATTTCAACAAATGTAACTGCTAGCTTGTCAAACATCAGCTAATGTAGCCACAAGTCAAACATCAGCTAATGTAGCCACAAGTCAAACATCAGCTAATGTAGCCACAAGTCAAACATCAGCTAATGTAGCCACAAGTCACACATCAGCTAATGTAGCCATAAGTCACACATCAGCTAATGTAGCCACAAGTCACACATCAGCTAATGTAGCCACAAGTCAAACATCAGCTAATGTAGCCACTAGCTAGTCAAACATCAGCTAATGTAGCCACAAGTCAAACATCAGCTAATGTAGCCACAAGTCACACATCAGCTAATGTAGCCACAAGTCAAACATCAGCTAATGTAGCCACTAGCTAGTCAAACATCAGCTAATGTAGCCACAAGTCAAACATCAGCTAATGTAGCCACAAGTCAAACATCAGCTAATGTAGCCACAAGTCACACATCAGCTAATGTAGCCACAAGTCAAACATCAGCTAATGTAGCCACAAGTCACACATCAGCTAATGTAGCCACAAGTCAAACATCAGCTAATGTAGCCACAAGTCACACATCAGCTAATGTAGCCACAAGTCAAACATCAGCTAATGTAGCCACAAGTCACACATCAGCTAATGTAGCCACAAGTCACACATCAGCTAATGTAGCCACAAGTCACACATCAGCTAATGTAGCCACAAGTCACACATCAGCTAATGTAGCCACAAGTCACACATCAGCTAATGTAGCCACAAGTCAAACATCAGCTAATGTAGCCACAAGTCAAACATCAGCTAATGTAGCCACTAGCTAGTCAAACATCAGCTAATGTAGCCACAAGTCACACATCAGTTAATGTAGCCACAAGTCAAACATCAGCTAATGTAGCCACAAGTCAAACATCAGCTAATGTAGCCACAAGTCACACATCAGCTAATGTAGCCACAAGTCAAACATCAGCTAATGTAGCCACAAGTCACACATCAGCTAATGTAGCCACAAGTCAAACATCAGCTAATGTAGCCACAAGTCACACATCAGCTAATGTAGCCACAAGTCAAACATCAGCTAATGTAGCCACAAGTCACACATCAGCTAATGTAGCCACAAGTCACACATCAGCTAATGTAGCCACAAGTCACACATCAGCTAATGTAGCCACAAGTCACACATCAGCTAATGTAGCCACAAGTCACACATCAGCTAATGTAGCCACAAGTCAAACATCAGCTAATGTAGCCACAAGTCAAACATCAGCTAATGTAGCCACTAGCTAGTCAAACATCAGCTAATGTAGCCACAAGTCACACATCAGTTAATGTAGCCACAAGTCACACATCAGCTAATGTAGCCACAAGTCACACATCAGCTAATGTAGCCACAAGTCACACATCAGCTAATGTAGCCACTAGCTAGTCATCAGCTAATGTAGCCACAAGTCACACGTCAGCTAATGTAGCCACAAGTTACACATCAGCTAATGTAGCCACAAGTCAAACATCAGCTAATGTAGCCACAAGTCAAACATCAGCTAATGTAGCCACAAGTCACACATCAGCTAATGTAGCCACAAGTCACACATCAGCTAATGTAGCCACAAGTCACACATCAGCTAATGTAGCCACAAGTCAAACATCAGCTAATGTAGCCACAAGTCAAACATCAGCTAATGTAGCCACAAGTCACACATCAGCTAATGTAGCCACAAGTCACACATCAGCTAATGTAGCCACTTGCTAGTCATCAGCTAATGTAGCCACAAGTCAAACATCAGCTAATGTAGCCACTTGCTAGTCAAACATCAGCTAATGTAGCCACAAGTCACACATCAGCTAATGTAGCCACTTGCTAGTCATCAGCTAATGTAGCCACAAGTCAAACATCAGCTAATGTAGCCACAAGTCAAACATCAGCTAATGTAGCCACAAGTCACACATCAGCTAATGTAGCCACAAGTCAAACATCAGCTAATGTAGCCACAAGTCAAACATCAGCTAATGTAGCCACAAGTCAAACATCAGCTAATGTAGCCACCAGTCAAACATCAGCTAATGTAGCCACAAGTCAAACACCAGCTAATGTAGCCACAAGTCAAACTTCAGCTAATGTAGCCACTTGCTAGTCAAACATCAGCTAATATAGCCACAAGTCAAACATCAGCTAATGTAGCCACAAGTCAAACATCAGCTAATGTAGCCACAAGTCACACATCAGCTAATGTAGCCACAAGTCAAATATCAGCTAATGTAGCCACAAGTCAAACATCAGCTAATGTAGCCACAAGTCAAATATCAGCTAATGTAGCCACAAGTCAAACATCAGCTAATGTAGCCACAAGTCAAACATCAGCTAATGTAGCCACAAGTCACACATCAGCTAATGTAGCCACTGTTTTTCAGTCTAAAATCAAAGAGTTAGAAGAGAGGATGAGAGAAGAGAAAAAACACAGAAAAATTTTAGAAGAAAAAACAGCGCAGGTTTGTACACGTTTTCCATTTATCTGAATCAACTCTAAGGTTAAAGGTTGTGTGTTCACTCCAATCATTAACTCTTTCCACCCTAAGGTTGTGTGATCACTAAAATCATTAACTCTTTCCACCCTAAGGTTGTGTAATCACTCAAATCATTAACTCTTTCCACCCTAAGGTTGTGTGATCACTCAAATCATTAACTCTTTCCACCCTAAGGTTGTGTGATCACTCAAATCATTAACTCTTTCCACCCTAAGGTTGTGTGATCACTCAAATCATTAACTCTTTCCACCCTAAGGTTGTGTGATCACTCAAATCATTAACTCTTTCCACCCTAAGGTTGTGTGATCACTCAAATCATTAACTCCTTCCACCCTAAGGTTGTGTAATCACTCAAATCATTAACTCTTTCCACCCTAAGGTTGTGTGATCACTCAAATCATTGACTCTTTCCACCCTAAGGTTGTGTGATCACTCAAATCATTAACTCTTTCCACCCTAAGGTTGTGTGATCACTCAAATCATTAACTCTTTCCACCCTAAGGTTGTGTAATCACTCAAATCATTAACTCTTTCCACCCTAAGGTTGTGTGATCACTCAAATCATTAACTCTTTCCACCCTAAGGTTGTGTGTTCACTCAAATCATTAACTCTTTCCACCCTAAGGTTGTGTGATCACTCAAATCATTAACTCTTTCCACCCTAAGGTTGTGTGATCACTCAAATCATTAACTCTTTCCACCCTAAGGTTGTGTGATCACTCAAATCATTAACTCTTTCCACCCTAAGGTTGTGTGATCACTCAAATCATTAACTCTTTCCACCCTAAGGTTGTGTGATCACTCAAATCATTAACTCTTTCCACCCTAAGGTTGTGTGATCACTCAAATCATTAACTCTTTCCACCCTAAGGTTGTGTGATCACTCAAATCATTAACTCTTTCCACCCTAAGGTTGTGTAATCACTCAAATCATTAACTCTTTCCACCCTAAGGTTGTGTGATCACTCAAATCATTAACTCTTTCCACCCTAAGGTTGTGTGTTCACTCAAATCATTAACTCTTTCCACCCTAAGGTTGTGTGATCACTCAAATCATTAACTCTTTCCACCCTAAGGTTGTGTGATCACTCAAATCATTAACTCTTTCCACCCTAAGGTTGTGTGATCACTCAAATCATTAACTCTTTCCACCCTAAGGTTGTGTGATCACTCAAATCATTAACTCTTTCCACCCTAAGGTTGTGTGATCACTCAAATCATTAACTCTTTCCACCCTAAGGTTGTGTGATCACTCAAATCATTAACTCTTTCCACCCTAAGGTTGTGTGATCACTCAAATCATTAACTCTTTCCACCCTAAGGTTGTGTGATCACTCAAATCATTAACTCTTTCCACCCTAAGGTTGTGTGATCACTCAAATCATTAACTCTTTCCACCCTAAGGTTGCGTGATCACTCAAATCATTAACTCTTTCCACCCTAAGGTTGTGTGATCACTCAAATCATTAACTCTTTCCACCCTAAGGTTGTGTGATCACTCAAATCATTAACTCTTTCCACCCTAAGGTTGTGTGATCACTCAAATCATTAACTCTTTCCACCCTAAGGTTGTGTGATCACTCAAATCATTAACTCTTTCCACCCTAAGGTTGTGTGATCACTCAAATCATTAACTCTTTCCACCCTAAGGTTGTGTGATCACTCAAATCATTAACTCTTTCCACCCTAAGGTTGTGTGATCACTCAAATCATTAACTCTTTCCACCCTAAGGTTGTGTGATCACTCAAATCATTAACTCTTTCCACCCTAAGGTTGTGTGATCACTCAAATCATTAACTCTTTCCACCCTAAGGTTGTGTGATCACTCAAATCATTAACTCTTTCCACCCTAAGGTTGTGTGATCACTCAAATCATTAACTCTTTCCACCCTAAGGTTGTGTGATCACTCAAATCATTAACTCTTTCCACCCTAAGGTTGTGTGATCACTCAAATCATTAACTCTTTCCACCCTAAGGTTGTGTGATCACTCAAATCATTAACTCTTTCCACCCTAAGGTTGTGTGATCACTCAAATCATTAACTCTTTCCACCCTAAGGTTGTGTGATCACTCAAATCATTAACTCCTTCCACCCTAAGGTTGTGTAATCACTCAAATCATTAACTCTTTCCACCCTAAGGTTGTGTGATCACTCAAATCATTGACTCTTTCCACCCTAAGGTTGTGTGATCACTCAAATCATTAACTCTTTCCACCCTAAGGTTGTGTGATCACTCAAATCATTAACTCTTTCCACCCTAAGGTTGTGTAATCACTCAAATCATTAACTCTTTCCACCCTAAGGTTGTGTGATCACTCAAATCATTAACTCTTTCCACCCTAAGGTTGTGTGTTCACTCAAATCATTAACTCTTTCCACCCTAAGGTTGTGTGATCACTCAAATCATTAACTCTTTCCACCTTAAGGTTGTGTGATCACTCAAATCATTAACTCTTTCCACCCTAAGGTTGTGTGATCACTCAAATCATTAACTCTTTCCACCCTAAGGTTGTGTGATCACTCAAATCATTAACTCTTTCCACCCTAAGGTTGTGTGATCACTCAAATCATTAACTCTTTCCACCCTAAGGTTGTGTGATCACTCAAATCATTAACTCTTTCCACCCTAAGGTTGTGTGATCACTCAAATCATTAACTCTTTCCACCCTAAGGTTGTGTGATCACTCAAATCATTAACTCTTTCCACCCTAAGGTTGTGTGATCACTCAAATCATTAACTCTTTCCACCCTAAGGTTGTGTGATCACTCAAATCATTAACTCTTTCCACCCTAAGGTTGTGTGATCACTCAAATCATTAACTCTTTCCACCCTAAGGTTGTGTGATCACTCAAATCATTAACTCTTTCCACCCTAAGGTTGTGTGATCACTCAAATCATTAACTCTTTCCACCCTAAGGTTGTGTGATCACTCAAATCATTAACTCTTTCCACCCTAAGGTTGTGTGATCACTCAAATCATTAACTCTTTCCACCCTAAGGTTGTGTGATCACTCAAATCATTAACTCTTTCCACCCTAAGGTTGTGTGATCACTCAAATCATTAACTCTTTCCACCCTAAGGTTGTGTGATCACTCAAATCATTAACTCCTTCCACCCTAAGGTTGTGTAATCACTCAAATCATTAACTCTTTCCACCCTAAGGTTGTGTGATCACTCAAATCATTGACTCTTTCCACCCTAAGGTTGTGTGATCACTCAAATCATTAACTCTTTCCACCCTAAGGTTGTGTGATCACTCAAATCATTAACTCTTTCCACCCTAAGGTTGTGTAATCACTCAAATCATTAACTCTTTCCACCCTAAGGTTGTGTGATCACTCAAATCATTAACTCTTTCCACCCTAAGGTTGTGTGTTCACTCAAATCATTAACTTTTTCCACCCTAAGGTTGTGTGATCACTCAAATCATTAACTCTTTCCACCCTAAGGTTGTGTGATCACTCAAATCATTAACTCTTTCCACCCTAAGGTTGTGTGATCACTCAAATCATTAACTCTTTCCACCCTAAGGTTGTGTGATCACTCAAATCATTAACTCTTTCCACCCTAAGGTTGTGTGATCACTCAAATCATTAACTCTTTCCACCCTAAGGTTGTGTGATCACTCAAATCATTAACTCTTTCCACCCTAAGGTTGTGTGATCACTCAAATCATTAACTCTTTCCACCCTAAGGTTGTGTAATCACTCAAATCATTAACTCTTTCCACCCTAAGGTTGTGTGATCACTCAAATCATTAACTCTTTCCACCCTAAGGTTGTGTGTTCACTCAAATCATTAACTCTTTCCACCCTAAGGTTGTGTGATCACTCAAATCATTAACTCTTTCCACCCTAAGGTTGTGTGATCACTCAAATCATTAACTCTTTCCACCCTAAGGTTGTGTGATCACTCAAATCATTAACTCTTTCCACCCTAAGGTTGTGTGATCACTCAAATCATTAACTCTTTCCACCCTAAGGTTGTGTGATCACTCAAATCATTAACTCTTTCCACCCTAAGGTTGTGTGATCACTCAAATCATTAACTCTTTCCACCCTAAGGTTGTGATCACTCAAATCATTAACTCTTTCCACCCTAAGGTTGTGTGATCACTCAAACCATTAACTCTTTCCACCCTAAGGTTGTGTGATCACTCAAATCATTAACTCTTTCCACCCTAAGGTTGCGTGATCACTCAAATCATTAACTCTTTCCACCCTAAGGTTGTGTGATCACTCAAATCATTAACTCTTTCCACCCTAAGGTTGTGTGATCACTCAAATCATTAACTCTTTCCACCCTAAGGTTGTGTAATCACTCAAATCATTAACTCTTTCCACCCTAAGGTTGTGTGATCACTCAAATCATTAACTCTTTCCACCCTAAGGTTGTGTGTTCACTCAAATCATTAACTCTTTCCACCCTAAGGTTGTGTGTTCACTCAAATCATTAACTCTTTCCACCCTAAGGTTGTGTGTTCACTCAAATCATTAACTCTTTCCACCCTAAGGTTGTGTGATCACTCAAATCATTAACTCTTTCCACCCTAAGGTTGTGTGTTCACTCAAATCATTAACTCTCTCCACCCTAAGGTTGTGTGATCACTCAAATCATTAACTCTTTCCACCCTAAGGTTGTGTGTTCACTCAAATCATTAACTCTTTCCACCCTAAGGTTGTGTGATCACTCAAATCATTAACTCTTTCCACCCTAAGGTTGTGTGATCACTCAAATCATTAACTCTTTCCACCCTAAGGTTGTGTGATCACTCAAATCATTAACTCTTTCCACCCTAAGGTTGTGTGATCACTCAAATCATTAACTCTTTCCACCCTAAGGTTGTGTGATCACTCAAATCATTAACTCTTTCCACCCTAAGGTTGTGTGTTCACTCAAATCATTAACTCTTTCCACCCTAAGGTTGTGTGATCACTCAAATCATTAACTCTTTCCACCCTAAGGTTGTGTGATCACTCAAATCATTAACTCTTTCCACCCTAAGGTTGTGTGATCACTCAAATCATTAACTCTTTCCACCCTAAGGTTGTGTGATCACTCAAATCATTAACTCTTTCCACCCTAAGGTTGTGTGATCACTCAAATCATTAACTCTTTCCACCCTAAGGTTGTGTGATCACTCAAATCATTAACTCTTTCCACCCTAAGGTTGTGTGATCACTCAAATCATTAACTCTTTCCACCCTAAGGTTGTGTGATCACTCAAATCATTAACTCTTTCCACCCTAAGGTTGTGTGATCACTCAAATCATTAACTCTTTCCACCCTAAGGTTGTGTGATCACTCAAATCATTAACTTTCCACCTTGAATTCCATGTGATTGTGCCTAGAGAAAAGCTGATGTTCCAATAATTGTAAAGATAATTTTGTCTTCTCTCATCACCAGCTTGAGTCAGTGGCCGCCAAAAGTCACATGACAAGTTCTGGTTTCCAAGTGCCTCCCCACTATTCCAGTGTCTCACAGCGGCTTGCTGGTGTGGTGCCGTCCGCACACCCTCACACTGCCAAACAGCCATCCACCACACACCCTCACACTGACAAACAGCCACCTGCCACCCACTTTCATCGGCCTAAGAAGTCCCCAAAGAAAAAGAAGAAAAAAGTGAACCAACATCCGAGCTTAAAAGTTGGCCACGAGCATCGGTCAACAACATCGCAGCCCATGAGGCACTACAGGCTAAACTTGGCAGAGATTCCATTTGTGGCAGGAAAGGTATGTGCAACAGAACAACACCCAATCATTAGTTTAATGGAACATCATTCAATCATTAGTTAGTGTAATGGAACATCACTCAATCATTAGTTAGTGTAATGGAACATAACTCAATCATTAGTTAGTGTAATAGAACATCACCCAATCGTTAGTTAGTGTAATGGAACATCACCCAATCATTAGTGTAACAGAACATCACCCAATCATTAGTGTAACAGAACATCACCCAATCATTAGTGTAACAGAACATCACCCAATCATTAGTTAGTGTAATGGAACATACCCAATCATTAGTGTAATAGAACATACCCAATCATTAGTTAGTGTAATAGAACATCACCCAATCATTAGTTAGTGTAATAGAACATCACCCAATCATTAGTTAGTGTAATAGAACATCACCCAATCATTTAGTTAATAATTTTTTGTCAGAGTAATTGAACAGAAATGTTACAGTTAAAAAAAAAGATTTGATAATTTTCCTAAAGCAAATGAGATTTTTGAAAAAAAAAATCTTTAAATGTTTAAAAATTTTTAAAAATAATTTTTTCTTTTAATAATAAAGTAACTGATTTGAAATCTTTTCTAGAGTTAAAAAACAGACTGTTTGATGAAAGTAATTAATTTCCTTATTTTACTGTTACATACCGTGATCACTATGATAATTTTACTGTTACATACCATGATCACTATGATAATTTTACTGTTACATACCATGATCCCTATGATAATTTTACTGTTACATACCATGATCCCTATGATAATTTTACTGTTACATACCATGATCCCTATGATAATTTTACTGTTACATACCATGATCCCTATGATAATTTTACTGTTACATACCATGATCCCTATGATAATTTTACTGTTACATACCATGATCCCTATGATAATTTTACTGTTACATACCATGATCCCTATGATAATTTTACTGTTACATACCATGATCCCTATGATAATTTTACTGTTACATACCATGATCCCTATGATAATTTTACTGTTACATACCATGATCCCTATGATAATTTTACTGTTACATACCATGATCCCTATGATAATTTTACTGTTACATACCATGATCCCTATGATAATTTTACTGTTACATACCATGATCCCTATGATAATTTTACTGTTACATACCATGATCCCTATGATAATTTTACTGTTACATACCATGATCCCTATGATAATTTTACTGTTACATACCATGATCCCTGTGATAATTTTAGTGTAAAACAAATTTTTTCTGTCCAGTCAACTGGTCCCAGCCACTCTCTAGGCGCTAACGTCCAGAAAGTTCTCTCCCTCATGAAGTCCCACAACTCTGCCTTATGCTCCACACATGCCAGCGCTGATGGCCAGGGGTCAGCCAGCACTTCCTCCACGGGGTCAAGTTCACCCAGCTCTGACCATGACCTCAGTGACCTACTTATTCAGTTGCAGGATGAGCTTGGTCTTTTAAACAGGTGAGTCTGGGGGAGGGGAGGGGGGTGGAGGGGGTGGGAATTAATGTGTAGGGTGGGGATTCAATTAGTGTAGGGTAGGGTGGGGTGTAGGGTGGGGAGTCAGCTTGGTGTGGGGGTAGGGCAGCGTGGTGTAAATTCAGCTTTTGTTTAAACTTAAACCGACATGTTATCAGATAAATAATGGATCCAATGGTTGCATTACTCAGACATTATTTGATGAGATAAATAGTGGATCCAATGGTTGCGTTACTCAGACATTATTTGATGAGATAAATGGTGTATCCAATAGTTGAGTTACTCAGACATTATTTGATGAGATAAATAGTGGATCCAATACTTGAGTTACTCAGACATTATTTGATGAGATAAATAGTGGATCCAATGGTTGCGTTACTCAGACATTATTTGATGAGATAAATGGTGTATCCAATAGTTGAGTTACTCAGACATTATTTGATGAGATAAATAGTGGATCCAATAGTTGAGTTACTCAGACATTATTTGATGAGATAAATAGTGGATCCAATAGTTGAGTTACTTAGACATTATTTGATCAGATAAATAGTGGATCCAATGGTTGAGTTACTCAGACAATACTTGATCAGATAAATAGTGGATCCAATAGTTGAGTTACTCAGACATTATTTGATCAGATAAATAGTGGATCCAATAGTTGAGTTACTCAGACATTATTTGATGAGATAAATAGTGGATCCAATAGTTGAGTTACTCAGACATTATTTGATGAGATAAATAGTGGATCCAATAGTTGAGTTACTCAGACATTATTTGATCAGATAAATAGTGGATCCAATAGTTGAGTTACTCAGACATTATTTGATCAGATAAATGGTGTATCCAATAGTTGAGTTACTCAGACATTTGATGAGATAAATAGTGGATCCAATAGTTGAGTTACTCAGACATTATTTGATGAGATAAATAGTGGATCCAATAGTTGAGTTACTCAGACATTATTTGATGAGATAAATAGTGGATCCAATAGTTGAGTTACTCAGACATTATTTGATCAAATAGTGGATCCAATAGTTGAGTTACTCAGGCATTATTTGATGAGATAAATAGTGGATCCAATAGTTGAGTTACTCAGACATTATTTGATCAGATAAATAGTGGATCCAATAGTTGAGTTACTCAGACATTATTTGATCAAATAGTGGATCCAATAGTTGAGTTACTCAGGCATTATTTGATGAGATAAATAGTGGATCCAATAGTTGAGTTACTCAGACATTATTTGATCAAATAGTGGATCCAATAGTTGAGTTACTCAGGCATTATTTGATGAGATAAATAGTGGATCCAATAGTTGAGTTACTCAGACATTATTTGATCAGATAGTGGATCCAATAGTTGAGTTACTCAGACATTATTTGATCAGATAAATAGTGGATCCAATAGTTGAGTTACTCAGACATTATTTGATCAGATAAATAGTGGATCCAATAGTTGAGTTACTCAGACATTATTTGATCAGATAGTGGATCCAATAGTTGAGTTACTCAGACATTATTTGATGAGATAAATAGTGGATCCAATAGTTGAGTTACTCAGACATTATTTGATCAGATAGTGGATCCAATAGTTGAGTTACTCAGACATTATTTGATCAGATAAATAGTGGATCCAATAGTTGAGTTACTCAAACATTATTTGATGAGATAAATAGTGGATCCAATAGTTGAGTTACTCAGACATTATTTGATCAAATAGTGGATCCAATAGTTGAGTTACTCAGACATTATTTGTGTTGTTGTTCTCACAGTGAGCACCACCAGATCCTGGACCAGATGGACTGCGCCAGGAACCTGAAGGTCAAGGAGGAACTGGAGGACCAGCTCGAGGCTCTGGTGGCCAAAATAGAAGCCAAGAGTCAGCAGATTCTCAAGGTCAGACAGCACCAAAACAAGGTGAGACACCTGTCTATGGCTAGACACACCTGTCTACTGCAGGACACACCTGTCTATGGCTAGACACCTGTCTATGGCTAGACACACCTGTCTACCGTAGGACACACCTGTCTATGGCTAGACACACCTGTCTATGGCTAAACACACCTGTCTATGGCTAGACAAACATGTCTGTGGCTAGACACACCTGTCTATGGCTAGACACACCTGTCTACTGTAGGACACACCTGTCTATGGCTAGACACCTGTCTATGGCTAGACACACCTGTCTACTGTAGGACACACCTGTCTATGGCTAGACACACCTGTCTATGGCTAAACACACCTGTCTATGGCTAAACACACCTGTCTATGGCTAGACACACATGTCTATGGCTAGACACACCTGTCTACTGCAGGACACACCTGTCTATGGCTAGACACCTGTCTATGGCTAGACACCTGTCTATGGCTAGACACGCCTGTCTATGGCTAGACACACCTGTCAATGGCTAGACACACCTGTCTATGGCTAGACACACCTGTCTATGGCTAGACACACCTGTCTATGGCTAGACACACCTGTCTATGGCTAAACACACCTGTCTATGGCTAGACACACCTGTCTATGGCTAGACACACCTGTCTATGGCTAGACACACCTGTCTATGGCTAGACACACCTGTCAATGGCTAGACACACCTGTCAATGGCTAGACACACCTGTCTATGGCTAGACACACCTGTCTATAGCTAGCTATGTTCAACTAGTATATAAAAGTGAAATTACCATATGGCAGTGAGCTGGTGTTGACAAATGTTGACACAAATGTTGACACAAATGTCTAGTACTAGATCAAGCTAATTAGTCTAGTACTAAATCAAGCTAATTAGTCTAGTACTAGATCAAGCTAATTAGTCTAGTACTAGATCAAGCTAGTCTAGTACTAGATCAAGCTAATTAGCCTAGTACTAGATCAAGCTAATTAGTCTAGTACTAGATTAAGCTAATTAGTCTAGTACTAGGTCAAGTTAATTAGTCTAGTTCTAGATCAAGATAATTAGTCTAGCACTAGATCAAGCTAACTAGTTTAGTACTAGGTCAAGTTAATTAGTCTAGTATTAGATCAACCTAATTAGTCTAGTACTAGATGAAGCTAATTAGTCCAGTACTAGATCAAGCAAATTAGTCTAGTACTAGATCAAGCTATTAAAATATTGACATAACGTTAGATTTTGTAGTTATTAAAATTGAAAAGTGCTAAAGTAAAAGTGTATATAGCCTATTATAGTTATCATGCATGGAAATAAGAAAATAAACATAATTCTTTCTTTTCACAAAAAGTAATTGTTGGCTAAAATAAGTGTATAAGAATAGTGTATTTACCAGCATGTATTTAAAAAAAATTGGAATCAAATATTTTTTCAGTTGGATGGCATCAAAGTACCTCGCATGACAGCACCAACCAAAACTGCTGAGAAAACAAAACGTCCACACTCAGCCAAACCTCGCTCGGCACCCACCAGCCGCCTCCACCACAACAAGGCCACAACGCAACATCACACCCTCAACAGAAATGGACTTGTCCGGCCCCACAGCTGTAATAAGCCTGTGGGTCACGCTGCCCTGGGCAACCCAGCTCTCTACATGCTGCGCGATATGAAGAAGCTGCAGTCAACTCTCAGAAGGGATGACTTAAGTTGGGACTAATTTAGTCAGTCAACTCTCAGAAGGGATGACTTAAGTTGGGACTAATTTAGTCAGTCAACTCTCAGAAGGGATGACTTAAGTTGGGACTAATTTAGTCAGTCAACTCTCAGAAGGGATGACTTAAGTTGGGACTAATTTAGTCAGGACTAATTTAGTCAGTCAACTCTCAGAAAGGATGACTTAAGTTGGGACTAATTTAGTCGGGACTAATTTAGTCAGTCAATTCTCAGAAGGGATGACTTAAGTTGGGACTAATTTAGTCGGGACTAATTTAGTCAATTCTCTGAAGGGACGACTTAAGTTGGGACTAATTTAGTCGGGACAAATTTAGTCAGTCAATTCTCAGAAGGGACGACTTAAGTTGGGACTAATTTAGTCAGTCAATTCTCAGATGGGATGACTTAAGTTAGGACTAATTTAGTCGGGACTAATTTAGTCAGTCAATTCTCTGAAGGGACGACTTAAGTTGGGACTAATTTAGTCGGGACAAATTTAGTCAGTCAATTCTCTGAAGGGATGACTATCTTGATGCTAAAACTGAATGTTTGACCTGCATTTGAAGACAAGACACAACAAAAAGGGCTTGACCCAGGTACTTGATGTTACAGTGATGTATCACTGTTGTATTGTTACGCTTATGTTATATGGATGTATTTTGTACTGGATTAAATCATCTAATACATTTAAATTTTCAAAGGAGAAAACAAAATATGTAAAAAGTAATATGTTTTTATCTTTTTATAATAAAAATTGCTCTGAAAAAAATAATGCCAAAATAAATTTTGTGATAATGCTGTAAATACCATAATTTAAATACTGTTTCTCACAGAATATCAGCATAGAAAATTTATTTAAATCCTTTATAAAATAGTAAAACATTTTAAAATTTTGTATTGTTCATATTTTTACTCCCAAAAAACGTGATAAACAAGTTGACTTGATGTGGTTACAAAATGATCCCTGGGCCAAAAAAAATATCCGTCCCCGATGAGACATAATGAATTAAGCCACATAAGTTTTCTAATTGTTTTTACTTCAAATTAGGTGTTGTGTTCAGTCTTTTCTACTTCTAGTTGTGCTGCTTGATTAGAGCAAAAACATTTGTTGTTGTTGAGCATCCTGTACCAGCAAATCTTGTACTTATACAATACAATACCTCATGTTCTAATTAATTATGCCCCTTAGATCAATAAAATTTTACCCATTTGTGCGCCTGTGATCAAACTAATTTGAATCAATCGTGCCCTCTGGATTAAGTTTCATGCACTTGTTCCCCTTAGGTCAATAAACTTTCACTCAATTGTTATCCTCAGCTGAGCCCCAGTTTACTTAGTTGTGCCCCGGGACCAATCACAATTTAGAACTTTTGAGCCGCTGCTTATTTTAAACTTTTGAGCCGCTGCTCATTTTAAACTTGTGACCAATTATTTTAAACTTTTTTTTTTAATGTGTAACCTTTTTCATTATAAAATATTTATGGAGTCAGATGATGATAAACTTATGATGAGCACAAGGAGCCTTCCAACATGTGGTAAACAGGCTGCATGAATCATCCATTAGTTTGTTGTTGACATGTATAGGTAAAGTGCCCTTTTGAGTCTGACAGTCTGTGGGGCAAGTGAAGTAGAGTTCACCTGTTACTGTGACCTTGGCATATGAAGGGTCAGCACTAAGCCCAGCTGCCTCTACTTTCCCTTAGGTACCTGAACTCAGGAACATTCCAGATCAAACTCGAGATTTTTGGGCTAGTGGTTATATACTCTACCATTTGACTACTCTGTCCCTATGTTGAAGGGTAGATGTAAATAAAAACTTTTTATTTCAATAGCATAATTGTTTATTGCCAGTAACCAAATTTGTAACATTCCAAACTTGATGTCCCTTGTCAGCTTCCAACTTTATTTGGCCATTGTACTACTTAAACCTTCAGCTTTGGTTCTGCTTTCAATAAGTTGTCAATTATTCATTGATAAAAGAATGAGACAAATTGTTCATATCAAATTACTTTGAAAAAAGATTTGACCACTTTAAGTAGTAGAAACTTTAAAAATGTGTTGAACAATCAATGTGTTTGGACAAAATAAATAAAATTAGCCTATATTTGGCTAAAATTTGTTTTTAATTGAGCTGCAATAATGAATATAATTCTAGAATACAATCAATATTGTCTGCTTGAGATGTTACAAAGAAGTAATATTTCAACTCTTGCTCTGTAAAGACCTAAAACACTTGACTTATCAAAATAGCCTAATCCGTCCAAATGTAAAGAATGTTCCGTTCCGTAGGATGCTATTTGAACTTCTCATGCATTGCAGCAATAAAAATCATCAATTGTGCGTTTAATGGTTTTAAATTTTACAGTTTTAAAGTACCCCCCCCCCCCTTCCATCAAATATAAAATTACTGACTATATTATACATTTTAAACCACAGAAATTTTTCCCCAATAAATCTGTCCATGAGTTGCTGCATGAGTGATAGAAAAATATTTTCCTGTACTACACATACTTTTTATTGTTGTCCACTTGGCTTTGTATTTTGCATAATTTCACTTTGAACCACCTTGTATATGGTTTATCTTATAAATATTATTTATAAGCAATATCTTTTTAATCTTACTTTTTAAAAATGTCTTTATAACATGTATTTTCATAACTGAACTCAATTTTACTGTTGAAATATACAATAATGCAACAGAATACAGTTTGTTCACTCAATTTATTTGTTCAGATTATTGTATCATGTTCTCCATCAGTAGATGTTTTTACAAGCTAAAATGTTTTTAAGCCAACCTCATTATAAACATTGTTTGTATAACCATGGTCATAATGTTAGTAAAGTATTTCAACCTAACTGTTGGAACATATGGAGAGTACCCTAAACCCAGGGTATTTCAACCTAACTGTTGGAACATATGGAGACTACCCTAAACCCAGGGTATTTCAACCTAACTGTTGGAACATATGGAGACTACCCTAAACCCAGGGTATTTCAACCTAACTGTTGGAACATATGGAGAGTACCCTAAACCCAGGGTATTTCAACCTAACTGTTGGAACATATGGAGACTACCCTAAACCCAGGGTATTTCAACCTAACTGTTGGAACATATGGAGACTACCCTAAACCCAGGGTATTTCAACCTAACTGTTGGAACATATGGAGAGTACCCTAAACCCAGGGTATTTCAACCTAACTGTTGGAACATATGGAGACTACCCTAAACCCAGGGTATTTCAACCTAACTGTTGGAACATATGGAGACTACCCTAAACCCAGGCCCCAGTCACACATAAGCTTTAACAATGAGATTTTCACATTAACTGACAGCAGCCTGTTACATAACGTAACAATAACATAAAAGAATTACACCTCACTGCCATGCTTGCAGCATACTAAAATAGCATGACAAAAATTTTCTAGGAATTACTTTGATTAACAATATTAATTTAAAAAAACAAACCACCACCATTGAAAACTAAACTAATGTCAAATTTCAAAAGACTAAACTAAACAAGTTGTACTACATCTCCTGTATTTGTGAAACTTGTGGGACTATTTAGCCTTAGGATTGGTTTAGCACCCGTACATTTTTTTTAATCAGTGTTGTAGATCCAAAAAAATCCAGATGGATTTCATACAGAAATATGTATCAGCCTTAATGTCTGACCCTTTCATGTTTTGTCATGGTTCATATTTTTAGGGGTGACACACAGAAAGTAATCGAAAAACCAATGGACTTGAAAGAAAATTAGTTAATTAACATAATTACTGATGACCACTGATTAAATACAGCAGCATGTACTAATGACTACACTCTACCTACTAATTAGTTTAAATGATTAAACTTGTTTAAGATGAATTAGAAAACTAAAAGCATTCATACAGAAAATTCTACAAACTAAAATTTTTATATCTAGACTAAGTTAAAATGACAGAACTTAATGTAAAAAGATTTCACATAGTTCAAAGCACACTACTGAAAAAAAATGTATATTGTTTGTGTGATATATATATTTATAAACACACTATTAAGTCTAGCAAAATATCACTGGTAAAACAAGCCAGAGTGAAGTATTGTTGCATTGACTTCCATTATCTTTTATAACCTTCTTACTGTATGTGCTGGAACAAGTACCATTTAAATCAACAAAAACAACCAGTGTCTGGTTCAGAACAAAATTGAGCTTAAAACAAATTGAAATATGGTCTACACTAGTTTAGAGGGCTATTTGATTGGTGAGTTTTTCACTGTCTTGGTGATCACAGGTCCTAGTTTAGTTAACATGGCACTGCCCTGCCATTCTGCTTCGTACTTGTCATTTACCCTCAGGTCTGGCTGAAAACAGACAGGGGGGGGGAAGTAAGTTTCTAGTTCACCATTTTCACCTGCCAATTTCATTCAATCAAAGGAAAACATGACCACATTTAAATGTACAGGGAAACATGACCACATTTAAACATAAAGGGAAACATAACCACATTTAAACGTACAAGGAAACATGAACACATTTAAACGTACAGGGAAACATGACCACATACAAACGCACAAGGAAACCAGATACAAACCTGCAGTTTTTCCCAGACTTTCTTCTTTGGATTAAGTTGATCATCAGGTTTGATTGAGTTGTAGCCCTCAATAAACACTCTATCCCCTGGTGCACTGCCCTCAGGTGGAATTAATGGCTCTACTTGACGAGGATCTTCTCTAAAATAGTAAAAAAAAAACCCAGTCAACTTTCACTAAATATAACATTTTTTACTCAACATCAGACTTACATGGAGGCACACATCAACTACAACATCAGACTTACATGGAGGCACACATCAACATAGAGGCACACATCAACATAGAGGCACACATCAACATAGAGACACACATCAACATCAGACTTACATGGAGGCACACATCAACATCAGACTTACATGGAGGCACACATCAACATAGAGGCACACATCAACATAGAGGCACACATCAACATAGAGGCACACATCAACATAGAGGCACACATCAACATAGAGGCACACATCAACATAGAGGCACACATCAACATAGAGGCACACATCAACATAGAGGCACACATCAACATAGAGGCACACATCAACATCAGACTTACATAGAGGCACACATCAACATAGAGGCACACATCAACATAGAGGCACACATCAACATAGAGGCACACATCAACATAGAGGCACACATCAACATAGAGGCACACATCAACATCAGACTTACATAGAGGCACACATCAACATAGAGGCACACATCAACATAGAGGCACACATCAACATAGAGGCACACATCAACATAGAGGCACACATCAACATCAGACTTACATAGAGGCACACATCAACATCAGACTTACATAGAGGCACACATCAACATAGAGGCATACATCAACATCAGACTTACATGGAGGCACACATCAACATCAGACTTACATGGAGGCACACATCAACATAGCTGTGGACTCAATCCCCCTCATCTTGACAGGCTTGAGATTACAGAGGAACACCCCTAGCCTGTCTTGCAGAGATTCCATCGGAACAATCCCAGCCAGGCCACTGATGACTGTACGGGGCTGCTCCTCCCCTAGGTCAACGGTCTCCACATACAGTGAGTCTGCATCAGGGTGCTGGGGAAGCAAACACTCAATTGCCATTTTAAAAAGTAAATTATATTGTTTTTAATTTAACTTCAATTATTTGGTATAATTGCATTCACAGCGCCATGGGAAGTAAAGGGTTAACATACTTATGTAAGCTACCTGTGAAACAGAAGTTATCTTCCCTATTCTTAGATCCAGCCTGGATGGAACAAGGTCATCACCCCCTGCCGCAGTGTTCTGGCTGGGTTTAGAACCAGCATCTAGTGAAGGAAAACAAACACCACATGACCATACTAACAGATCCAAGTGCCGCAGTGTTCTGGCTGGGTTTAGAACCAGCATCTAGTGAAGGAAAACAAACACCACATGACCATACTAACAGATCCAAGTGCCACAGTGTTCTGGCTGGGTTTAGAACCAGCATCTAGTGAAGGAAAACAAACACCACATGACCATACTAACAGATCCAAGTGCCACAGTGTTCTGGCTGGGTTTAGAACCAGCATCTAGTGAAGGAAAACAAACACCACATGACCATACTAACAGATCCAAGTGCCACAGTGTTCTGGCTGGGTTTAGAACCAGCATCTAGTGAAGGAAAACAAACACCACATGACCATACTAACAGATCCAAGTGCCGCAGTGTTCTGGCTGGGTTTAGAACCAGCATCTAGTGAAGGAAAACAAACACCACATGACCATACTAACAGATCCAAATGCCAGTGTTCTGGCTGGGTTTAGAACCAGCATCTAGTGAAGGAAAACAAACACCACATGACCATACTAACAGATCCAAGTGTCACAGTGTTCTGGCTGGGTTTAGAACCAGCATCTAGTGAAGGAAAACAAACACCACATGACCATACTAACAGATCCAAGTGCCACAGTGTTCTGGCTGGGTTTAGAACCAGCATCTAGTGAAGGAAAACAAACACCACATGACCATACTAACAGATACAACATGGATTAACCCGTAGGAACTGTCTAGAAAAATATCACTCACTTTTTTTAGCCACTGGATAGGCCTGAGCAGTTAATTTCTTCAACTCTGGTGACTCGAATTCTCTTCTGATTGGATCTAAAAGTTCATTCAGGTACTTCTCCACAGCATTCTTCAAATCTCCTGGATGCACCTCCTACTCAACAGACAGAAAAGTAGCAGAGTTTTAACATTTAAACACAGTCTCACACAGTTTTATACAGCTAACAGAGAGATCTAACATTTAAACACAGTCTCACACAGTTTTATACAGCTAACACAGAGATCTAACATTTAAACACAGTCTCACAGAGTTTTATACAGCTAACACAGAGATCTAGATTGTCCCATAGGTGTACAGCCAGCTGTATCACTAGCCAACCTCCAACTAGTCAAGAAAATCAAGCATCAATACCTCTTTAGCAAAGGCCTGTTCTAGCTCCTCAAAGCTGCTGTAGGTTATATCTCCACCAAACTCTGCCGGTCTTTTGATTTCAAAAGCTAAAATTGAAAGATACACTTCACTTAGAGTTACTACATTTTCTAATGTCATGAACTAATCTCTAACATTTGAGGACAGACAATTGAGTATGTTTATAAATGTAATGAACTAGCACAGCAAATGTACACATGACTAGATGGAGCAATGAGACAGACAATTGAGTATGTTTATAAATGTAATGAGCTAGCACAGCAAATGTACACATGATGGAGCAATGAGACAGACAATTGAGTATGTTTATAAATGTAATGAGCTAGCACAGCAAATGTACACATGACTAGATGGAGCAATGAGACAGACAATTGAGTATGTTTATAAATGTAATGAGCTAGCACAGCAAATGTACACATGACTAGATGGAGCAATGAGACAGACAATTGAGTATGTTTATAAATGTAATGAGCTAGCACAGCAAATGTACACATGACAAGATGGAGCAATGAGACAGACAATTGAGTATGTTTATAAATGTAATGAGCTAGCACAGCAAATGTACACATGATGGAGCAATGAGACAGACAATTGAGTATGTTTATAAATGTAATGAACTAGCACAACAAATGTACACATGACTAGATGGAGCAATGAGACAGACAATTGAGTATGTTTATAAATGTAATGAGCTACCACAGCAAATGTACACATGACTAGATGGAGCAATGAGACAGACAATTGAGTATGTTTATAAATGTAATGAGCTACCACAGCAAATGTACACATGATGGAGCAATGAGATCTGACCTGAGCCTCTGAGTGGGAAGAGCACATGTTTACAAAATGACAAGACCCCATTGTCTGCTATATTGCCGGGTTCACAGAAAGCTTTCTTCAACTTTTTCTTCACCTGGGCGGGGGTGTCCAGGAGGTCAATTTTGGAATCCTCGTCAGATGAGCTCATCTTGGAGCCTGTCAGCCCTGGCACTGGAGAGGAGAGGGTCAGTGTACAGCTAGTGTGTCTGGGGGGGGGGAGAGGGTTAGTGTACAGCTAGTGTGTCTAGGGGGGGGGGGAGAGAGGAGAGGGTCAGTGTACAGCTAGTGTGTCTGGGGGGGGGGGAGAGGGTTAGTGTACAGCTAGTGTGTCTAGGGGGGGGGGAGAGGAGAGGGTCAGTGTACAGCTAGTGTGTCTTGAGGGGGGGGGGGAGGAGAGGGTTAGTGTACAGCTAGTGTGTCTAGACAGGGGGGGAGGGGGGGAGAGGAGAGGGTCAGTGTACAGCTAGTGTGTCTAGACAGGTGGGGGGGGGGGGGGGAGAGGAGAGGGTCAGTGTACAGCTAGTGTGTCTAGAGGGGGGGGGAGGAGAGGGTTAGTGTACAGCTAGTGTGTCTAGACAGGGGGGGAGGGGGGGGAGAGGAGAGGGTCAGTGTACAGCTAGTGTGTCTAGGGGGGGGGGGAGAGGGTCAGTGTACAGCTAGTGTGTCTAGACAGGTGGGGGGGGGAGAGGAGAGGGTCAGTGTACAGCTAGTGTGTCTAGGGGGGGGGAGAGGGTCAGTGTACAGCTAGTGTGTCTAGACAGGTGGGGGGGGGGAGAGGAGAGGGTCAGTGTACAGCTAGTGTGTCTAGACAGGTGGGGAGGGTCAGTGTACAGCTAGTGTGTCTAGACAGGTGGGGAGGGTCAGTGTACAGCTAGTGTGTCTAGACAGTTGGGGGGGGGGGGGGGGGGAGAGAGGAGAGGGTCAGTGTACAGCTAGTGTGTCTAGACAGGGGGGGAGGGGGGGGGGAGAGGAGAGGGTCAGTGTACAGCTAGTGGGTCTAGATGGGGGGGGGGGGGAGGGTCAGTGTACAGCTAGTGTGTCTAGAGGGGGGGGAGGAGAGGAGAGGGTCAGTGTACAGCTAGTGTGTCTAGAGGGGGGGGGGGAGGAGAGGAGAGGGTCAGTGTACAGCTAGTGTGTCTAGACAGTGGGGGGGGGGAGAGGAGAGGGTCAGTGTACAGCTAGTGTGTCTAGAGGGGGGGGGGGAGGAGAGGAGAGGGTCAGTGTACAGCTAGTGTGTCTAGACAGGTGGGGGGGGGGAGAGGAGAGGGTCAGTGTACAGCTAGTGTGTCTAGACAGGTGGGGGGGAGGAGAGGGTCAGTGTACAGCTAGTGTGTCTAGACAGATGGGGAGGGTCAGTGTACAGCTAGTGTGTCTAGACAGATGGGGAGGGTCAGTGTACAGCTAGTGTGTCTAGACAGGTGGGGAGGGTCAGTGTACAGCTAGTGTGTCTAGACAGGTGGGGGGGAGGAGAGGGTCAGTGTACAGCTAGTGTGTCTAGAGGGGGGGGGAGGAGAGGAGAGGGTCAGTGTACAGCTAGTGTGTCTAGACAGTTGGGGGGGGGGAGAGGAGAGGGTCAGTGTACAGCTAGTGTGTCTAGAGGGGGGGGGAGGAGAGGAGAGGGTCAGTGTACAGCTAGTGTGTCTAGACAGATGGGGAGGGTCAGTGTACAGCTAGTGTGTCTAGACAGGTGGGGGGGAGGAGAGGGTCAGTGTACAGCTAGTGTGTCTAGACAGTTGGGGGGGGGGGGGGAGAGGAGAGGGTCAGTGTACAGCTAGTGTGTCTAGAGGGGGGGGGAGGAGAGGAGAGGGTCAGTGTACAGCTAGTGTGTCTAGACAGGTGGGGGGGGGGGGGGGGGGGAGAGGGTCAGTGTACAGCTAGTGTGTCTAGACAGTTGGGGGGGGGGGGAGAGGAGAGGGTCAGTGTACAGCTAGTGGGTCTAGAGGGGGGGGGGAGGAGAGGAGAGGGTCAGTGTACAGCTAGTGTGTCTAGAGGGGGGGGAGGAGAGGAGAGGGTCAGTGTACAGCTAGTGTGTCTAGACAGGTGGGGGGGGGGGGAGAGGGTCAGTGTACAGCTAGTGTGTCTAGACAGTTGGGGGGGGGGGGAGAGGAGAGGGTCAGTGTACAGCTAGTGGGTCTAGATGGGGGGGGGGAGGGTCAGTGTACAGCTAGTGTGTCTAGACAGGTGGGGGGGGGGAGAGGGTCAGTGTACAGCTAGTGTGTCTAGACAGTTGGGGGGGGGGGAGAGGAGAGGGTCAGTGTACAGCTAGTGTGTCTAGACAGGGGGGGGGGGGGAGGAGAGGGTCAGTGTACAGCTAGTGTGTCTAGACAGGTGGGGGGGGGGGGAGGAGAGGGTCAGTGTACAGCTAGTGTGTCTAGACAGGTGGGGGGGGGAGAGGAGAGGGTCAGTGTACAGCTAGTGTGTCTAGACAGGTGGGGGGGGGGGGAGAGGAGAGGGTCAGTGTACAGCTAGTGTGTCTAGACAGTTGGGGGGGGGGGGGAGAGGAGAGGGTCAGTGTACAGCTAGTGTGTCTAGACAGGTGGGGGGGGGAGAGGAGAGGGTCAGTGTACAGCTAGTGTGTCTAGGGGGGGGAGGACTGGAGAGGGTCAGTGTACAGCTAGTGTGTCTAGGGGGGGGGGGAGGACTGGAGAGGGTCAGTGTACAGCTAGTGTGTCTAGGGGGGGGAGGACTGGAGAGGGTCAGTGTACAGCTAGTGTGTCTAGACAGGTGGGGAGGGTCAGTGTACAGCTAGTGTGTCTAGACAGGTGGGGGGGGTGGGGGAGAGGAGAGGGTCAGTGTACAGCTAGTGTGTCTAGACAGATGGGGAGGGTCAGTGTACAGCTAGTGTGTCTAGACAGATGGGGAGGGTCAGTGTACAGCTAGTGTGTCTAGACTGGGGGGGGGAGAGAGGAGAGGGTTAGTGTACAGCTAGTGTGTCTAGACAGGTGGGGGGGAGAGAGGAGAGGGTTAGTGTACAGCTAGTGTGTCTAGACTGGGGGGGGGGGGGGAGAGAGGAGAGGGTTAGTGTACAGCTAGTGTGTCTAGACAGATGGGGAGGGTCAGTGTACAGCTAGTGTGTCTAGACAGATGGGGAGGGGGGGAGAAATGGGACACGATGACAAATGGGGAGGGGGAAGGGGAGAGAGAAGGAGAAACTGGAATGATATGAGTCACTGTACAGTTTTGGGATTAGCTTGTAAACAAACTACAACACGTTGTTGAACATACCCATAGGGTTCATTAAATGTGATCTTTTTGTGTAAACAAACTACAACACGTTGTTGAACATACCCATAGGGTTCATTAAATGTGATCTTTTTGTGTAGCCAAGATGTGGTAGGTACTGAAACAAAAAATGTGGTCAACTTACAAGGCATGTTTCACATTAATACAGCAAGGATGGTACTTACATCCTGTATGACCCAGTTTGTCATCACTGGTTAAACGTTCCAACAACAACTTACTTTTTCAGCATAGGTAAAGATTTTTCTCTGGTCCACACCCCCGAACTGGGCATCACATTTCAGATATTCTTCATCCAGCGCTTGGAGTCCGGGGTAAAGAAGGCCACTAAGTAAGGGATGGTCCACCTGCTTGACCACTTCTGCACCTGCCTTACGTGCGTCATGCTCAGTAACAATAGAGCTAAGCTTGTAAACATCCAGTGTGTATTCCCTGGTAACATACAGAACAAATATTTAGCTCAATGAAAATGTTTCAAATCTTAATGTATAAAAAAGCTATATCTAGTAACTAGTATTTGTCTCCCTTGGTCACCTGCTGAGTTGGTAGTCAGTTCCCTTGACAAACTTGAGTTTGGTGAGATCTACACCAATAGACTTGAGCATAGATTTAATCACAGCTTCGTAATACTTGACCCTGAGTTCAAGCAGCTCCCAGGGGGCCTTCATGTTGTCCAGGTAAGCGTGGAGGTCAGCAAACAGAATGGTTACCTAAATAAATATCAACGTTTGAAACAGGAGTTTTCATATACTTAGTGGCAAACTAAATAATAATAAAAGAATTGAAACGTGTGAAAAAGAATGAGTGTATTACCTCGCAGCCTGCTTTAAGAAAATCTGCCAGTTTTGACATGGGAACAAAGTATGCAATGTGTGGTTTGCCAGTGGTGGCAGTACCCCAATAAATTTTCACATCCCGAGTTTTTAAAATCTCAACAAGTTTCTCTTCTCCAAGAATTTCCTGAAACAAGTTTTTAAATAACCCTAATTTGGTTGCCAATTTTTTTTTGTCAAGATGAATACATTTTCTAGTGTATTTAATGCATACTTCAAGAGGAAGAAATAATGAGGCACCTGCAAATTCCTTTTCATGAGGGTCAGTTTTTCTTCAGCGGACATAGCCATTTTTAAGTCTCTATCTGTAGTGAATAGCAAAAAGTACTTACATTTAAATCTATTGGTAAATAAATTATAATCTTGAAAGAATTTAAAACAATAAAAAATATATTTTCAGACATGCCTACCCCTGTCAGCCAAAAGTAGAACAGTCATGCCTAAAAAGAGGAACATACGAGCGGACGCTACTTTACAAAGTCAAAAATAAAAATAGTTAACTAAAAATTAGTCTAATGACATTAGTAGGCCTCTAATAACTTAAATAACTAGTCTCTAGGCTACATTTAAATACTGCTTTATGTCAGCTTACATTTTTTTTTTAAAAAGTTAAAAGTATTCGGTATCTAGATCTAGTTACATGTTATTTAAGGAATAACTTAAATCTACTATTCAATTGCTAGTACTAAAAATAACGTTCAGAAGCTAGATTGTTCACATTATCTAGTATTAGTAGATCTAGTATTAGATGATACTTGTAAATATTGTATGTTAACTAGGAAACATGTGCCAAAAGGAGATACTGTTTTTCCCAGCCTTTTTTTTCCAATTTGATTTATTACTTTTCTTTATTAATTATTCAAAAAACAAACAAACAACAAAAAACGGGTCAAACTTTGATGAAAACGGGATGGCGGAACAGGACACGATTTTTTGTAAAAAAGTAAATGAGCTTGGAAATTGGTTGCATCATCTGATGAACACATAGCAAATCTTTATTTATTAGCCATAGGCCTATATTAGGCCCAACTGAAAAGGCCTTCAATTGTTACAAAACAGGTCTAGATCTAGATCTAGGCCTACAACAATGGCCTACTACATGAATGAGAAAAGTTTGAAACATTTTTGTAACTTTTAAAACATAAATCTTTCTAGATCTAGATCTAGAGATCTAAACATGTGAAATAATAACAACAATTTGATGAGTCACCTTTTTTTCACATTACTAACTAGATCTAGTAACTAGTCTTGACGGATTTTACTTTTAAGTAGATCTAGATCGTCTACACTCTACCATTCTACACTACCTAAAAAAATCCTAAAACGATGGATTTATTAGATTACCGACTACCGAAATCAATAATAAAAATTAAAAATAAAATCAAAATCAGGCTAGGCCCCTAAGTAAATTAATTTAATTTAAAAATAAAAGAGAGATCTTGAGGCTTTTTATAACTTAACGATCTTAATTCTTAAACTATTATCTACAATTTAGAATCTAAATAATATGTTTCTTTTTTACATTTTAATAGACAAAAGCTCACATATGTGTCAGACCTGTTTTCAATACAGTGAACAATCAAATCTTATCCAGTCTAAACTCTAGGCATAGTTCACGTTTTCAAGGAACTTGCATCATCAGTGTCTTCGGTTGTCGTAAAAGCTAAAAACAACCCACGTAAATCCATTCTAGATTCTAGATTTATTCTAAATTTAGAAAATATTTTTAGAACCCCAAGCTCATAGATCTAGATCTATACAGCAGTGACGGTACTTAGTGTATTATAACGATTAGTATTATTAGGCTATTATTCATCTCAAACAGAAACTAGCTCATTGAAAAAAATTACGACTAAACACAAGAGATGTAAAACTGGAGGTCAAAGTTCAGCTCAAAGATGAGACCATACTTTGATATTACTTTGCTTTACTAGAGAACCTACGCTAGTACGCCTATGAGTACTCTACAGTAGATCTAGATATCTCTAGAGATCTACTATTTAGAGTTTACTCAGTTTTAGACTAGAGCTAGGGATAATCTAGAAATCTATACTGATTCCATACGTCCCACAATGACATGACGGTGTAGCTATTGTAATGTTAATGTTTAGTTAAGACTACTAAAAAACTAAGTGAAACAAACAGGCCTATCCGCGGCATCTGTCATCTGGGGAATAAGACTAAGAGTGAGTAATAGTCTAGATCTAGATTCTAGTTCTAGATAATTGATTCATTGTATTCAATATACATATTGATACGTTTGGATCTAGATTAAGATTTAGATCAACTTAATTCAATTGTAAGTTGTACTCAGTACTGTACTTCTTATAGTCTTATACTAATATACTTAACTAGTAACTAGAGTAACTGGGTGTTGGGAAATTTGCAAAAAGCGAAATGACGAAGTGGTAAACTGCGAGAAGAAAATGCGAGACATATCTGTGGAATCACGGGTAAATAGCGAGACACAATTTGCAAAAACAAATTTAGTTTCATGTTTTTTTTTTTTAATAGTTAGAGATCTATAAACTAAGGAAGATGATAATCACGAATGTTGTGTGTTCTTTATTTAAAATCTAATTTGATTTTATATTAAACAATCTTAACATCTTCTGACCGCCGCTCTCGTTTTCTTGTCAGCGGGAGAAAAATCCCGTTTTGATAGACGGGTCAGTGCAGTTCATAAAGAGAATATTATTAGACTATATTTTAAAATCTATATTTAGATTAGTTGATATTCAAAATTCTAAACATTATGACGTTTTCTAATGTGCAAGAGAAAAAAAAACCCCGCCATTTGAGGGATCGGTATAGGCCTACATTTCAAACCATCCCACTTTTACTTATTAAATCTACATCGTGACTTAATAAGCGCGACCTTAATATCATACTGCCTTGTTTCTTTGAGGGGGAAAAGTATAGCTGCATGCTTAGCTGCATGCTACAACATCATTCAAGGTCAATACCTTGGTGAATTATTTTAGCTCGTTTTCAATGAGTAGGCCTATATAGCCCTCCCTCTTCTTCTCAATCGCATTAAAAAAAAATTGCCAACGTGGTGGGGGTAAAAAGTGTAACATTTGATTCAAGAAAGAGAGCGGGTGGTATTGAAACAACATAGCTGTTTCTGTAATAGTAAAAATAAATTATACAGGAAATTTGTATTCTCATTACTTAATTAATTAGTTAAATTTATTATCGCTAAAGAAAATAAAGGGAGATAGTATATATTAGTTTATTTATTTAGTTTATTAGTTTAAATGTATTACCGCACAACACACTATGCGTGTGTGGTATGTGGCCTGGCCTATTAAATATATATTATTATTGTTTTGAGTTTATATTGAACTCAATGCAACAAACCCGCTGGTTGGTTAAGGCTACACCGGGGGGGGGGGGGGGGGGGGTTCGTTCTGCTACGAAATAAAACAAAATTACTTTGCAACAAACAAATATATGTTTGTGGCGGCAGGCGGCCACGGTGTTCCACTCAAATAAAATAAGTTAATCTAATGTCGGCGGTATTTCGGGTGGTTTCGAACAAGGTGGTATTCTTAGTCGACACAAAAGATGGTTAAGTTGACAAATCATCAAAATGTCTAGCGACGGAAAAATCAGAATTTTTAACAGTGTAAACGAAGAGTCTTTGAAGTCTGTTTCAAATATCGCTGTAAATCGGTCGAGGTAAAATTTTCATAGAAAGCTTTGCATCCTACCACCTCCCTGCATAAGTATCGGGTGGTGGAAAGTGTGAGGCAAAAATATCACGTGAACGACGGTTTTCGCGCCCTTCTCACAGTTTACCGCCTCGCCATTTCGCTTTTCGCATTTGCAATTTCTTAACACCCAGAGTAACTACTCATCTAGATCTAGTTCTAGTAGCCTAACACTAGCATTTTAAATTTTTAAAAAAAAATTTAAAATAAAAAATCGGCAGATCAATGCTAATTTATTTAATGATTAATTATTTCAGTTTAATAGTCTATTAATTCAGTTTAGAAATTAAAATTAGGCCTAAAAATATGCTTTAATTTAATAATTTTGATTGAAATCTAGCTTGTTTCTAAGGATAGTTTAGCAATAAATTATTTAGAGAGATGATCTATCTACTAGAATAGATTTAGTCTAGATCTAGTCATTTGACTTTTTTTCACAGATTTAGAATTAGTATAGATTTAGATCTATTCTAAATGAGGACAGGGGACAAAATATCATCCTATTGGAGACGTAAAACATTTGAATATATTTTGTTTCAGAATACCTGACAAAATGGGTTTCTTCCAGCAACTGAAGGCCAACCTTGTGATGCACTTGATTTTAGGTTATATCTTCATCATGTCCGGTTTGATTGTAACATTTCTTATGTTATGTTCTTGTATTATTTGGCCATTCAACCGGCACTTGTATCGAAAGATAAACGTGCATCTGGCATACTCACATTGGTCTCGTAAGTACTGATTCTACAGTTTTATGTTTTCTTCAAATATGAATGTCAACAGTAAAAGTCATTGCTTTAATGTGGAGTTTCAAGTTTTTACACTATTTAAAAAAAAAACCCACTTATTTTTATTATAAAATTTTTGTATTCCAGCAATAAAATAATTTTTTAACGCTACATTTTCCTAATTGAATGTTCACGATCTACAGAGTTTACCTTCCTGGCTCAGTGGTGGTCTGGGACTGAAGTAATTTGTTATGCATCTGATGTAGATGTCAAGTTAATTGGCAAAGAGCATATCCTGACCATAATGAACCATAAATATGACATCGACTGGTTGATGGCATGGATCTTGGCAGAAAGATTTCAAATGCTGGGGGTATCATAATTTTTACTAGTTTACAGTTTCCAAAGTATGTTCCTAGTTTTTGGGAATCAAATTTCTAATAGAAAATTTTATTTTTAATTTTTAAATTACTTTCTTTAACTCTTTAAAAGTTTCATTTCTTTGCTTAAATGATATAGTTTTTATTAAACAGAACACAAAAATCTATGGCAAACAGTTTCTAAAGTATGTCCCTCTTATTGGCTGGGCCTGGTATTTCACTGAGAGCATATTTCTCAAGCGCCAGTGGGAGCATGACAAAAAGATCATACAGAAAGACTTGCTTCAAGCTACTGATTATCCTGAAGGGTACTACGTCACAGTAAGTTCTGCACACGCGTTTCTTCACCATCCCATCACGAGCTGTATTTTCTGTCACACAAATTTTAAATTATAAACTCATTAGGGCATGATAATTAGTGTAGAGGCCATTTATGATTATTGTGATAAAACTTTTCCCATTTGGTTAGTTCTTTCTATACAAGTTAACTGCAGTAAGTTATTATAGGATTGTGTTATTCTGCAGTTTTTGTTTACAAATGTTAGGTGAGGTTTTTTGCTAGGTCTATTAGTGGCATTTGTAAGATAACGGTTCTAAAACTTTGAATAGATACTTGCTAGAACTTGATAGAACATGCTAGAACCTTTGATGCTTGTGATTGCAGCTGCTGCTGTTCCCTGAAGGCACAAGATTCACTGAAGAGAAACACAAAGCCAGTCTAGAGGTTTGCAAGGCCAAAGGTTACCCTCTCTTGAAACATGTGCTCCTGCCCAGGCCGAAAGGATTCATTGTGTCCATGCATGGCTTGAAGGGCCATTGTAAGTTCAGTTTGGTATAAGTGCAGAAATATTTCTGATCATGGTAGACAGTTTATTGAATTTCCTTGCAACAAATATTTCAGATATGTTGGAGTAATTTTGACTCCCCTTAAAACAATTACAAAGTCTCAATACTTTAAAAACTGTAAACAAATCATAACTCAAACCATAGAATATGACTGAGGTTGTTTGATGAGTGTGACTGAGGTTGTTTGATGAGTGTGACTGAGGTTGTTTGATGAGTGTGACTGAGGTTGTTTGATGAGTGTGACTGAGGTTGTTTGATGAGTGTGACTGAGGTTGTTTGATGAGTGTGACTGAGGTTGTTTGATGAGTGTAAACAAGGTATCTTCTCTGCTTCTAGTCCCCACAATTCTAAACTGCACGGTTGGATTTCCACCCAATGGTCCGCCACCAACACTGATGACTGTCATTCAAGGCAAGCCACTGCTTGCACACTTTCATGCTGAGTAAGTTGTTAGGCAAGCCACTGCTTGCACACTTTCATGTTGAGTTATTTAGTAACATTTGTAATGGCAACTATTGTGTTGGTTGCCTACTTTCATGTTGAGTAAGTTATTTAGTAACATTTGTATTGGCAACTATTGTGTTGGTTGCCTACTTTCATGTTGAGTAAGTTATTTAGTAACATTTGTAATGGCAACTATTGTGTTGGTTGCCTACTTTCATGTTGAGTAAATTATTTAGTAACATTTGTAACAGCAACTATTGTGTTGGTTGCCTACTTTCATGTTCAGTAAGTTATTTAGTAACATTTGTAATGGCAACTATTGTGTTGGTTACACTGAGTACAAGTCATTGATTGATGCTTCAGTTTGTCAAATATCTATGGTAGAACTTTTATCATTGGACTTTGTTTGATGCTTCAGTTTGTCAAATCAAATAAATTGAATAAAAAAAATTTGAACCCATTTTTCCAGACGTATCCCTATTGATAGTGTGCCTATTGAGTCTGATGAAGTTTGTGCTCAATGGCTGAGAGAACTCTTCAAGAAGAAGGTAAAAAACACCTGTTATAGTTCTAGGCTTACTATGAGAAAATCAAAGACATAAACTTATAATAAAAACAGAAGCAAAAGAAACAAATTTGGCCATGTCAACTCTTGCACAAACTTGGCCTTATTAACTCTTGCACAAACTTGGACATGTCAACTCTTGCACAAACTTGGCCTCCTTGGCCACGACAGAAACAAAAAATTGGCCATTTTAATTTGCCATCTCTATCGATGTTGTAACTTTAGAGTACTTTATGAATTGATCCAAACAGTCACTGTTGTATCTATACCAACCTAGGATGATACTAACATGAACTGTCTTTGTTTAGGACGACATGTATGACAGCTATCTGATGATACTAACATGAGCTGTCCTGTCTTTGTTTAGGATGACATGTATGACAGCTATCTGATGATTCTAACATGAGCTGTCTTTGTTTAGGATGACATGTATGACAGCTATCTGATGATACTAACATGAACTGTCCTGTCTTTGTTTAGGATGACATGTATGACAGCTATCTGATGATACTAACATGAGCTGTCCTGTCTTTGTTTAGGATGACATGTATGACAGCTATCTGATGATACTAACATGAACTGTCCTGTCTTTGTTTAGGATGACATGTATGACAGCTATCTGATGATACTAACATGAGCTGTCTTTGTTTAGGATGACATGTATGACAGCTATCTGATGATTCTAACATGAACTGTCCTGTCTTTGTTTAGGATGACATGTATGACAGCTATCTGATGATACTAACATGAACTGTCTTTGTTTAGGACGACATGTATGACAGCTATCTGATGATACTAACATGAACTGTCTTTGTTTAGGATGACATGTATGACAGCTATCTGATGATACTAACATGAACTGTCCTGTCTTTGTTTAGGATGACATGTATGACAGCTATCTGATGATACTAACATGAACTGTCCTGTCTTTGTTTAGGATGACATGTATGACAGCTATCTGATGATACTAACATGAACTGTCTTTGTTTAGGATGACATGTATGACAGCTATCTGATGATTCTAACATGAACTGTCTTTGTTTAGGATGACATGTATGACAGCTATCTGATGATACTAACATGAGCTGTCTTTGTTTAGGATGACATGTATGACAGCTATCTGATGATACTAACATGAGCTGTCTTTGTTTAGGATGACATGTATGACAGCTATCTGATGATTCTAACATGAACTGTCTTTGTTTAGGACGACATGTATGACAGCTATCTGATGATACTAACATGAGCTGTCCTGTCTTTGTTTAGGATGACATGTATGACAGCTATCTGATGATTCTAACATGAGCTGTCTTTGTTTAGGATGACATGTATGACAGCTATCTGATGATACTAACATGAACTGTCCTGTCTTTGTTTAGGATGACATGTATGACAGCTATCTGATGATACTAACATGAGCTGTCTTTGTTTAGGATGACATGTATGACAGCTATCTGATGATTCTAACATGAACTGTCTTTGTTTAGGATGACATGTATGACAGCTATCTGATGATACTAACATGAGCTGTCTTTGTTTAGGATGACATGTATGACAGCTATCTGATGATACTAACATGAGCTGTCTTTGTTTAGGATGACATGTATGACAGCTATCTGATGATACTAACATGAACTGTCCTGTCTTTGTTTAGGATGACATGTATGACAGCTATCTGATGATTCTAACATGAACTGTCCTGTCTTTGTTTAGGATGACATGTATGACAGCTATCTGATGATTCTAACATGAACTGTCTTTGTTTAGGATGACATGTATGACAGCTATCTGATGATACTAACATGAGCTGTCCTGTCTTTGTTTAGGATGACATGTATGACAGCTATCTGATGATACTAACATGAACTGTCCTGTCTTTGTTTAGGACGACATGTATGACAGCTATCTGATGATACTAACATGAACTGTCCTGTCTTTGTTTAGGATGACATGTATGACAGCTATCTGATGATTCTAACATGAGCTGTCTTTGTTTAGGATGACATGTATGACAGCTATCTGATGATTCTAACATGAACTGTCTTTGTTTAGGATGACATGTATGACAGCTATCTGATGATACTAACATGAACTGTCTTTGTTTAGGACGACATGTATGACAGCTACCTGGAAACTGGTCAGTTTCCTGGTCCACATCACCTGATACCTCGGCGCTACAACGACCTAATTATGTGGATATTTTGGGCCATTGTGACCTGCGTTCCCCTTTTCTACTACATCGGCAGCATTTTTGTAGCCGGCTCCTTGACGCAGCAACTCATTATTGTAGCCGTGGGCGTGTTCTGTAAGTTTCCTTGTCACGTCATGTACGAAGGGTTGACAGTGAGAATATTTAGTTGCAATGTTCATGAAAATATGTAAATAGGAATAAGTTAAATTAAAAATAGCAAGGCGTATTCTTGTATAATCTTGTCAAGAACAGCAGAAATACATATTGGCTCATAACAACAGTTTTACCATAATTAAGATGGGTAGAAAGAATATTCCAGTAATAAAGATTATTTCATTTAGATACTTATGAGTGATTATTCCAATTAGATAGTTATGAAAATTATTCCATTAATTAAGATGGTAAAGAAGGATTATTGCAGTAATTGAGATGGTTAAGAAGGATTATTGCAGTAATTGAGATGGTTAAGAAGGATTATTGCAGTAATTGAGATGGTTAAGAAGGATTATTGCAGTTATTAAGATGGCTAAGAAGGATTATTGCAGTAATTGAGATGGTTAAGAAGGATTATTGCAGTAATTAAGATGGTTAAGAAGGATTATTGCAGTAATTAAGATGGCTAAGAAGGATTATTGCAGTAATTATGATGGTTAAGAAGGATTATTGCAGTAATTAAGATGGTTAAGAAGGATTATTGCAGTAATTATGATGGTTAAGAAGGATTATTGCAGTAATTAAGATGGCTAAGAAGGATTATTGCAGTAATTAAGATGGTTAAGAAGGATTATTGCAGTAATTAAGATGGCTAAGAAGGATTATTGCAGTAATTAAGATGGTTAAGAAGGATTATTGCAGTAATTAAGATGGTTAAGAAGGATTATTGCAGTAGTTAAGATGGTTAAGAAGGATTATTGCAGTAATTAAGATGGTTAAGAAGGATTATTGCAGTAGTTAAGATGGTTAAGAAGGATTATTGCAGTAATTGAGATGGTTACCTTGTCCCCAGTGTCTGTTGTGGTGAGGTGGATGATCAGTGTGTCAGAGATCCACAAAGGCTCCGAGTATGGAAAAGTGACCAACGCAGAGAAGAAGAAATCTGAATGATGATGTTTGATCAACTACTGATGTTGCAAGTCAGGTGTGATCAACTACTGATGTTGCAAGTCAGATTCTGATAGATAATACATTGTTTAATCCAAACTATGCTGTTTTTCTAAGGTGTCCGAGCTAAATATCCTCTATTTTTTTATTAAAATATTGAAGAGCTTAGCCTTTGTTATCATAATGTTAGCTCATGCAGGATTATTTCCTACCATTCCTTGCTTGTATATTTCTTGCTAATTTTTTACTTTGATCATTTATTTTAAAAGTTGCGGGTATAACATGTCCTCTAACCTAGCGCTGCCAGCTTGTCAACACTGTAGCTCACCTGCTAATGTCCAGCCGCACATGTAACTGGTGTTGTGATGAGTTAACACAAATCACATGTAACTGGTGTTGTGATGAGTTAACACAAATCACATGTAACTGGTGTTGTGATGAGTTAACACAAATCACATGTAACTGGTGTTGTGATAAGTTAACACAAATCACATGTAACAAATCACATGTAACTGGTGTTGTGATGAGTTAACACAAATCACATGTAACTGTTGTTGTGATGAGTTAACACAAATCACATGTAACTGTTGTTGTGATGAGTTAACACAAATCACATGTAACTGGTGTTGTGATGAGTTAACACAAATCACATGTAACTGGTTTTGTGATGAGTTAACACAAATCACATGTAACTGTTGTTGTGATGAGTTAACACAAATCACATGTAACTGTTGTTGTGATGAGTTAACACAAATCACATGTAACTGGTGTTGTGATGAGTTAACACAAATCACATGTAACTGGTGTTGTGATGAGTTAACACAAATCACATGTAACTGGTGTTGTGATAAGTTAACACAAATCACATGTAACTCATCACATTTTAAGTTTAATTTGACTCACATCACATTTTAAGTTTGACTCACATCACATTGTAAGTTTCATTTGACTTATCTCATCACATTGTTTCATTTGACTTATCTCATCACATTGTTTCATTTGACTTATCTCATCACATTGTTTCATTTGACTTTATCTCATCACATTGTTTCATTTGACTTATCTCATCACATTGTTTCATTTGACTTATCTCATCACATTGTTTCATTTGACTTATCTCATCACATTGTAAGTTTCATTTGACTTATCTCATCACATTGTTTCATTTGACTTATCTCATCACATTGTTTCATTTGACTTATCTCATCACATTGTTTCATTTGACTTATCTCATCACATTGTTTCATTTGACTTATCTCATCACATTGTTTCATTTGACTTATCTCATCACATTGTTTCATTTTACTTATCTCTTCACAAAGCTTTGTCTGAGATAGTGCAGGCAGCATAGTGAAATCAAAGTTGGATCTATTTATAGCCTAGTGTTGTTGGATTAGAGAGTTCTATTTATAGCCTAGTGTTGTTGGATTAGAGAGATCTATTTATAGCCTAGTGTTGTAGGATTAGAGAGATCTATTTATAGCCTAGTGTTGTTGGATTAGAGAGATCTATTTATAGCCTACTGCTACTTTGAAATGTCAGCATTTGTAAGTCATGAACTGGTTGTAACGTCCATAAAAAACTTCACTAGCATGACAGACTTGCTACAACATAGTAGCTAGTTTTATTTACGTCAACACCACCAAACCAAAGGGCTTTATTTTTGTTGATAATTAGGTCTACTTACTTCAGGTGTGTAAGTCTACTTCAGGTGTGTAGGTCTACTTACTATAGATGTTTAGATCTACTTACTATAGATGTTTAGATCTACTTACTACAGGTGTGTAGGTCTACTTACTACAGATACGTAGGTCTACTTACTACAAATACGTAGGTCTACTTACTACAGATACGTAGGTCTACTTACTACAGATACGTAGGTCTACTTACTACAGATACGTAGGTCTACTTACTACAGATACGTAGGTCTACTTACTACAGATATGTAGGTCTACTTACTACAGGTGTGTAGATTAAGTGTGTGTTCCTACTAAAACTATTATTTCTACTGCCTTAATCAGCTGTTAAGTTGCTGCATGTTGGCATCTGGTGTTAAGGTGTTGTGTGTCACCATCTTGCTGTGTGTGGGTGTCTGGTGTAAAGGTGTTATGTGTCACCATCTTGCTGTGTGTCACCATCTTGCTGTGTGTGGGTGTCTGGTGTAAAGGTGTTGTGTGTCACCATCTCACTGTGTGTGGGTGTCTGGTGTAAAGGTGTTATGTGTCACCATCTCACTGTGTGTCATCATCTTGCTGTGTGTGGGTGTCTGGTGTAAAGGTGTTGTGTGTCACCATCTCACTGTGTGTGGGTGTCTGGTGTAAAGGTGTTGTGTGTCACCATCTCACTGTGTGTGGGTGTCTGGTGTAAAGGTGTTGTGTGTCACCATCTTGCTGTGTGTGGGTGTCTGGTGTAAAGGTGTTGTGTGTCACCATCTCACTGTGTGTGGGTGTCTGGTGTAAAGGTGTTGTGTGTCACCATCTTGCTGTGTGTGGGTGTCTGGTGTAAAGGTGTTGTGTGTCACCATCTCACTGTGTGTGGGTGTCTGGTGTAAAGGTGTTGTGTGTCACCATCTTGCTGTGTGTGGGTGTCTGGTGTAAAGGTGTTGTGTGTCACCATCTCACTGTGTGTGGGTGTCTGGTGTAAAGGTGTTGTGTGTCACCATCTCGCTGTGTGTGGGTGTCTGGTGTAAAGGTGTTGTGTGTCACCATCTCGCTGTGTGTCACCATCTCACTGTGTGTGGGTGTCTGGTGTAAAGGTGTTGTGTGTCACCATCTCGCTGTGTGTTACCATCTCGCTGTGTGTGGGTGTCTGGTGTAAAGGTGTTGTGTATCACCATCTCGCTGTGTGTCACCATCTCACTGTGTGTGGGTGTCTGGTGTAAAGGTGTTGTGTATCACCATCTCGCTGTGTGTGGGTGTCTGGTGTAAAGGTGTTGTGTGTCACCATCTTGCTGTGTGTGGGTGTCTGGTGTAAAGGTGTTGTGTATCACCATCTCGCTGTGTGTCACCATCTCACTGTGTGTGGGTGTCTGGTGTAAAGGTGTTGTGTGTCACCATCTTGCTGTGTGTGGGTGTCTGGTGTAAAGGTGTTGTGTGTCACCATCTCGCTGTGTGTGGGTGTCTGGTGTAAAGGTGTTGTGTGTCACCATCTTGTTATGTGTCACCATCTCGCTGTGTGTGGGTGTCTGGTGTAAAGATGTTATGTGTCACCATCTCACTGACTGTACTGGTGTTTGAATGATGTTGATTTTAACCCATATTTTAATGTGTAAATTCGACATAACCTTTTAACCAAGTTTTTATTTACCCCTGCAACCATATTGTATCTCCCCCCCCCCCCCCCAAAAAAAAAAACATTAATTATACATTTCTGGTGAGAGATTGTAGTTGTAAAGTTTTTTGACTACATTGTATAATGGTTTGTTTGATTGGCATGGGAAGTGTCACACAAAATGACATGTATCTGTAACAGATGGGATGCCATTGATCAAATGACATGTGTCTGTAACAGATGGGATGCCATGGATCAAATGACACGTATCTGTAACAGATGGGATGCCATTGATCAAATGACATGTATCTGTAACAGATGGGATGCCATTGATCAAATGACATGTATCTGTAACAGATGGGATGCCATTGATCAAATGACATGTATCTGTAACAGATGGGATGCCATTGATCAAATGACATGTATCTGTAACAGATGGGATGCCATTGATCAAATGACATTTATCTGTAAAAGATGGGATGCCATTGATCAAATGACATGTATCTGTAAAAGATGGGATGCCATTGATCAAATGACATGTATCTGTAACAGATGGGATGCCATTGATCAAATGACATTTATCTGTAAAAGATGGGATGCCATTGATCAAATGACATGTATCTGTAAAAGATGGGATGCCATTGATCAAATGACATGTATCTGTAACAGATGGGATGCCATTGATCAAATGACATGTATCTGTAAAAGATGGGATGCCATTGATCAAATGACATGTGTCTGTAAAAGATGGGATGCCATTGATCAAATGACATGTGTCTGTAAAAGATGGGATGCCATTGATCAAATGACATGTGTCTGTAAAAGACTCACCCACTTTAACATCCCCCTGTCTCATGTGTGTGCCATTTTTGCTGTTATTTATTTTGTTTCAGGACCACATCAGGTTTTAGTTTTTGTATTGCCTCTAGTGTGCTATCCCAGCATTCCCTTTAAAGATGGAAACCATTCCAATTGAGCAGCAGCCATTCTTGTTTGGTTTGGTGATCTGACCTAACCAAAAACTTGATGCGTGTCTCACCTCTCAATGCTTGTCAGATATTTTGTAATTTTAATACAAGAACAACAAAATGGCAGCCTCTCATTGTTTGTATTTGAAACTTGAAATGCAATAATTAGTTTAATCATGTCCTAACAGAATTGTGCAAGATTAGTTGAGTCAAACTGTCTGACTTTCTGATGGGTTGTTGATTCAAAATTTCAGATGACTCATCTTTAGTTGACCTTGACCAGTACATGACATGTTGCTTTAGTTGACCTTGACCAGTACATGACATGTTGCTTTAGTTGACCTTGACCAGTACATGACATGTTGCTTTAGTTGACCTTGACCAGTACATGACATGTTGCTTTAGTTGACCTTGACGAGTACAACTACTTAACACTAAAAAACATTTTATTTTCTCATGCGATAAGTTTGAACTCTTTTACTTGTATTTATATGGGACCTGAAGCATATTATTAAAAGGAAAGGGTAAAAAAAAAACCTGTTTGAAAATTTTGTTTTATATTATCTATCAATCATACATTAATGTGAAAACCTGTTGGAAATTTTGTTTTATATTAACTATCAATAAAACATTTATGTGAAAACCTGTTTGAAATTTTTTTATATTATCAATCATTAAAACATTTATGTGATATTTTTTGTGGGAGTTTATTGTTGACTAGTGCTTGCCTGTATCTGACTCAAAGTCATCAATCTTTTGTTTCAATGTTGGTGATAATCAATCTTTTGATGTTGGTGATACATGTCTTTGAAAGTTGGTGATACATCAATCTTTGAATGTTGGTGATACATCAATCTTTTGATGTTGGTAATACATCAATCTTTGAATGTTGGTGATACATCAATCTTTTGATGTTGGTAATACATCAATCTTTGAATGTTGGTGATACATCACACTTTATACACTGCTCAAAAGAATCCTACACTACACCAGCCATGTAGGAACAATGTAGTACTCATTGAAACAACAAAAAAGTCAAGAAACATGTAGTACTCATTGAAACAACAAAAAAGTCAAGAAACATGTAGTACTCATTGAAACAACAAAAAAGTCAAGAAACATGTAGTACTCATTGAAACAACAAAAAAGTCAAGAAACATGTAGTACTCATTGAAACAACAAAAAAGTCAAGAAACATGTAGTACTCATTGAAACAACAAAAAAGTCAAGAAACATGTAGTACTCATTGAAACAACAAAAAAGTCAAGAAACATGTAGTACTCATTGAAACAACAAAAAAGTCAAGAAACATGTAGTACTCATTGAAGCAACAAAAAAGTCAAGAAACATGTAGTACTCATTGAAACAACACAAAAGTCAAGAAACATGTAGTACTCATTGAAACAACACAAAAGTCAAGAAACATGTAGTACTCATTGAAGCAACAAAAAAGTCAAGAAACATGTAGTACTCATTGAAACAACACAAAAGTCAAGAAACATGTAGTACTCATTGAAACAACACAAAAGTCAAGAAACAGGTAGTACTCATTGAAACAACAAAAAAGTCAAGAAACATGTAGTACTCATTGAAACAACAAAAAAGTCAAGAAACATGTAGTACTCATTGAAACAACACAAAAGTCAAGAAACATGTAGTACTCATTGAAACAACACAAAAGTCAAGAAACATGTAGTACTCATTGAAACAACAAAAAAGTCAAGAAACATGTAGTACTCATTGAAGCAACACAAAAGTCAAGAAACAGGTAGTACTCATTGAAACAACAAAAAAGTCAAGAAACATGTAGTACTCATTGAAACAACAAAAAAGTCAAGAAACATGTAGTACTCATTGAAACAACACAAAAGTCAAGAAACATGTAGTACTCATTGAAACAACACAAAAGTCAAGAAACATGTAGTACTCATTGAAACAACAAAAAAGTCAAGAAACATGTAGTACTCATTGAAACAACACAAAAGTCAAGAAACATGTAGTACTCATTGAAACAACAAAAAAGTCAAGAAACATGTAGTAGCCTACTCATTGAAGCAACAAAAAAGTCAAGAAACATGTAGTACTCATTGAAGCAACAAAAAAGTCAAGAAACATGTAGTACTCATTGAAACAACACAAAAGTCAAGAAACATGTAGTACTCATTGAAACAACAAAAAAGTCAAGAAACATGTAGTACTCATTGAAGCAACAAAAAAGTCAAGAAACATGTAGTAGCCTACTCATTGAAACAACAAAAAAGTCAAGAAACATGTAGTACTCATTGAAACAACACAAAAGTCAAGAAACATGTAGTACTCATTGAAACAACACAAAAGTCAAGAAACATGTAGTACTCATTGAAACAACAAAAAAGTCAAGAAACATGTAGTACTCATTGAAGCAACACAAAAGTCAAGAAACAGGTAGTACTCATTGAAACAACAAAAAAGTCAAGAAACATGTAGTACTCATTGAAACAACACAAAAGTCAAGAAACATGTAGTACTCATTGAAACAACACAAAAGTCAAGAAACAGGTAGTACTCATTGAAACAACAAAAAAGTCAAGAAACATGTAGTACTCATTGAAACAACAAAAAAGTCAAGAAACATGTAGTACTCATTGAAACAACACAAAAGTCAAGAAACATGTAGTACTCATTGAAACAACACAAAAGTCAAGAAACATGTAGTACTCATTGAAACAACAAAAAAGTCAAGAAACATGTAGTACTCATTGAAACAACACAAAAGTCAAGAAACATGTAGTACTCATTGAAACAACAAAAAAGTCAAGAAACATGTAGTAGCCTACTCATTGAAGCAACAAAAAAGTCAAGAAACATGTAGTACTCATTGAAGCAACAAAAAAGTCAAGAAACATGTAGTACTCATTGAAACAACACAAAAGTCAAGAAACATGTAGTACTCATTGAAACAACAAAAAAGTCAAGAAACATGTAGTACTCATTGAAGCAACAAAAAAGTCAAGAAACATGTAGTAGCCTACTCATTGAAACAACAAAAAAGTCAAGAAACATGTAGTACTCATTGAAACAACAAAAAAGTCAAGAAACATGTAGTACTCATTGAAACAACAAAAAAGTCAAGAAACATGTAGTACTTATTTAAACAACAAAAAAGTCATGAAACATTGAGTTTGTGTTTTAATTTTTTTTAATCAACATCCGCCTGTACAAGTGAATTGATTTTAAACATGAGTCAAGTTGGTAGAATGTAGATTGGACAGAAAGTAAAACAATACACCTCATGTTGATTAGAACTCAACCATCACAGTGCTGGTCTGACCATGCCATTAGAACTCAACCATCACAGTGCTGGTCTGACCATGACATTAGTACTCAACCATCACAGTGCTGGTCTGACCATGCCATTAGTACTCAACCATCACAGTGCTGGTCTGACCATGACATTAGTACTCAACCATCACAGTGCTGGTCTGACCATGACATTAGTACTCAACCATCACAGTGCTGGTCTGACCAACCATCACAGTGCTGGTCTGACCATGCCATCGCTTACACTCGTGTATGAAATAATGGCCTGAGTTTACGCTGGTTAACAGTAAAACATTTTTCATTGGTTGCTACACTACAGACGTCTCATTTTCTTTCCCCGTTACTATGGCAACTTATTTACAACAGTAATGTTTGGGATCACAGCTACAACTAACAACAGTAGGTAAACATAAGATTCAGGCCATCGTCTCAATGTAAACAATCAGTTTATTGTCTCAATGTAAACATTAATCAGTTTATTGTCTCAATGTAAACATTAATCAGTTTATTGTCTCAATGTAAACATTAATCAGTTTATTGTCTCAATGTAAACATTAATCAGTTTATTGTCTCAATGTAAACAATCAGTTTATTGTCTCAATGTAAACATTAATCAGTTTATTGTCTCAATGTAAACAATCAGTTTATTGTCTCAATGTAAACATTAATCAGTTTATTGTCTCAATGTAAACATTTGATTTAGTCCATCAACTCACATGTAAACAATCAAAGTGTGGTAAACAGTAGAGTGTCCTCACATAGAAGAGTGTTGAAGTTTTCAGAAAATAAGTTTAAAATAGTTTTTATCTTATTGCTCAACTTCAACTGTACTAGCCATTGTTACTGTAACTAAACATAGTTACAACACCTGTTCTTATTGCATGTCCACATAACAACAGTGTACATTTAGTCACGAATGGGTTCAAGCACATCCAGTGGCGTCGCTAAGTGGGGTGTCACCCGGTTCGGCACCTCATGGTGTCAACTCTTTTTTTTTTCTCTCTGTAAATTCTGCAGTTGTTGTCACCCCCCCCCCCCCGGGGAAAAGCTTTAAAGCGTTCACATTTAATACTAATGATGTTTAGTCGGTTGTTAATAAAGTTGGTCGTAACATTGTTTTCTCTGTAGTTTACGTCATGGTGTCAACCCCCCCCCCCCTTATCGGGATCGTCATTATGTACTTAAAATACGTTTTTTACTCTAATTAATCATTCCTTGAACATATTTATTCTACATATATTGCAATTTTTGTATCTTGGTGTCACCCCCCCTAAATGGTGTCACCCCCCCCCCTAAATGGTGTCATCCCCCCCCCCCCCTCTGAGCACATCTGACAACTAGTGGGGCATTTCTTGCCACACACCAACCTTGTTGGACCCTCATTTTGACATTAATTTGGATAAGAATAATGAACTAAGGGACATAACAGCCATTCACAACAACACAACTGGCCGACTCATCACCCAAACTCGGATATATATATATATATATATATATATATATATATATATATATATGTATATATATATATATATATGTATATATATATATATATATATATATTATATATATATATATATATATATATATATATATATATATATATATATATATATATAAAAAACCCAGCTCTTGTTTGTAAAATGAAACTCAGGATCATAAAACCCTTCAAGCACCAACAAGTTGGATTATGATATTAAGATGAGCAATGTGTAGGCTAACAAGTACTTTACTTTCATTAAACCTAAATTAGACCATAAGAAATAGTTTGGTCGTCTACCTAGAAAAAGTGTATTCGGTAAATGAATGAGAAACTCAACCCTTCCAAAATGACGTGAAATAACCCAACACTTCCAAAATGACGTCATCAACCCAACCCTTCCAAAATGACGTGATTAACCCAACTTTCAAAATGACGAGATTAACCCAACTTTCAAAATGACGTGATTAACCCAACTTTCAAAATGACGTGATTAACCCAACCGTTTAAACATGACGTGATTATCCTTTAGTGCCCAGAAGAGAACGGATCAGTTTTTTGACGTGGGAGAGCTGGTAGGGCGACAACTCCCGCCACACACTCAGCACCTTGCCATTAGACGCCAGCTCCTGTAACACGTCACATGAGCGCACCAGCGGCACCGAGCTATTGTACAGGCTCTGGGCCGGCAGCCTTTGGGACTCTTCTTCGTTGGAGAGCACCAGTATCACTTGACCTGAAACATATCGGACATCTCTCATTGGCCAGTCATAAAAACAAAGTAAGTAAACAAAACGAATGACTAGTTTTGCGCTGCATTTAGATCTATAGAACATCAGTGTTTCTTTCAGAACTTTTTCTCCGGGGTGCACTTGAAATTTTCGGGGGGGGGGGGGGGGGCGGACAACAATTTTCGCGGGGGGGGGGGGCGGACACTGTCAAAAGCATATATTTACTATATAAATTCCATTTCGTTCGGGGGGGGGGGGGCGGTAGACTTTCTTAGGGGGAGGGGGGGGGGCGGTGCCTCCCCGAAGAGATGTCTGGAAGAAACTCTATAGAGCATTTACTTTAACCTATAAATAGAAATGTAATACCTCCAAAACACTTGAACTGATGCAATGACTCCAGAAGTACAGCGTTACTGGAGCGTTCATCGCCCTTGACCTCGCTCCCGCCGTTTTTGCAGACGTGATTTAAATCGAGCACGACGATGTAGACCTTAGCCCTCGGGCAGCTACTGAGAAGCTCCTGGGACTCGATGACGTGGAACGGCTTGACCGGAAGTTGCAGCTCGTCGGCCAGACACCTGAGCAGCGAGTCTGAGAGGGCCGAGTTCTGCTTCCAAGTGTTCTTGTTCAGGGCGATCACACACAAGTCCTGCCTGAAGGACACGTTGGGCTTCACCGGATGCTGCGCGAGGTTGATGCTCTGAAACACATTGGTCAACTCCTAAAACATGCATTTCGCCAGCTCGTTTCCTACATGAAACCAAACTGCGAAATATGAAAAAAAGTTTCTTGGAAAATAAAATGTATTTAAAAAAGTTGCTTCTAAAATATTTTTTTTTCTCAAGTAATTTGCATACATATGTATGTCTAATTTTTTGACAAGTAAGTCAATGCTGCGCCTAAACTGTTGACTAGAAGGCACATTGCTGTAAATCCTAAAACTGTAGCTACCAACATGTAAAGCCCATCCCCTTTCTCCCCCCCCCCCCCACACACAAAATAACATCACAACTGGGCGGTTCAGAGATGGGCGCTCAAGGGGTTAATTATCCCAACCTTTGTTTGGGTATCTGGCCAAGACGTCAATTCTCTCCCATTCCCACCCCACTCACCCCACCCCCGTCTCTACTTCGTAGTGTCACCCCCCCCCCAAAGTAATTAAAAGACCAGAGTAGCATTGATTTTTCAAGAGGTTATAATGACTTAAGTGACCTTATAAGCCGTACACAGTGTTACCCCCTTGGCGGAATCTAGAGAAAAATTGGACCGTCTCCAGACATGAATGGAGGGCTGGATGTCGACGGGAAATACTAAGGATGTTAAATCAAGGGCTGGATGTCGACGGGAAATACTAAGGATGTTAAATCAAGGGCTGGATGTCGACGGGAAATACTAAGGATGTTAAATCAAGGGCTGGATGTCGACGGGAAATACTAAGGATGTTAAATCAAGGGCTGGATGTCGACGGGAAATACTAAGGATGTTAAATCAAGGACTGGATGTCGACGGGAAATACTAAGGATGTTAAATCAAGGGCTGGATGTCGACGGGAAATACTAAGGATATTAAATCAAGGTCTGGATGTCGACGGGAAATACTAAGGATGTTAAATCAAGGGCTGGATGTCGACGGGAAATACTAAGGATGTTAAATCAAGGGCTGGATGTCGACGGGAAATACTAAGGATGTTAAATCAAGGGCTGGATGTCGACGGGAAATACTAAGGATGTTAAATCAAGGACTGGATGTCGACGGGAAATACTAAGGATGTTAAATCAAGGGACTGGATGTCGACGGGAAATACTAAGGATGTTAAATCAAGGACTGGATGTCGACGGGAAATACTAAGGATGTTAAATCAAGGGCTGGATGTCGACGGGAAATACTAAGGATGTTAAATCAAGGGCTGGATGTCGACGGGAAATACTAAGGATGTTAAATCAAGGACTGGATGTCGACGGGAAATACTAAGGATGTTAATCTTCTTTGAGCAAACCGAACAAACAGGTTGGGTTCATACCGTACTGGATGCCGACTTGGGCAGTGAAGAGCTGGTCAGTTGGCTCAAGTCGAGGCCCTGCCGGACGTTGAGTCGTGCCCGGACGGCCAGAATGATCTGGACGGTGATGTAGACAAGCACCAGGAAGCCGAGACATTCTGGGGACAGAGTGGGCTGTCAGTCATGTGGGGGGGGGGGCATATTGTGTGGGTGGTCAGACATTCATGTGGGGGTCATAATGTCATGTGGGGGGAGGCATATTGTGTGGGGGTCATAATGTCGTGTGGGGGTCATAGTGTCGTGTGGGGGTCATAATGTCGTGTGGGGGTCATAATGTCGTGTGGGGGTCATAATGTCATGTGGGGGAGGCATATTGTGTGGGGGTCATAATGTCATGTGGGGGGAGGCATATTGTGTGGGGGTCATAATGTCGTGTGGGGGGTCATAGTGTCGTGTGGGGGTCATAATGTCGTGTGGGGGTCATAATGTCGTGTGGGGGTCATAATGTCGTGTGGGGGTCATAATGTCATGTGGGGGAGGCATATTGTGTGGGGGGTCATAATGTCATGTGGGGGAGGCATATTGTGTGGGGGGTCATAATGTCATGTGGGGGAGGCATATTGTGTGGGGGTCATAATGTCATGTGGGGGAGGCATATTGTGTGGGGGGTCATAATGTCATGTGGGGGAGGCATATTGTGTGGGGGGTCATAATGTCATGTGGGGGGGGCATATTGTGTGGGGGGTCATAATGTCATGTGGGAGGGGCATATTGTGTGGGGGGTCATAATGTCATGTGGGGGGAGGAGCATATTGGTGGGGGGTCATAATGTCATGTGGGAGGGGCATATTGTGTGGGGGGTCATAATGTCATGTGGGGGAGGCATATTGTGTGGGGGTCATAATGTCATGTGGGGGAGGCATATTGTGTGGGGGTCATAATGTCATGTGGGGGAGGCATATTGTGTGGGGGTCATAATGTCATGTGGGGGAGGCATATTGTGTGGGGGTCATAATGTCGTGTGGGGGTCATAATGTGTGTGTGTGTGGGGGAAGGGGCATATTGGTGGGGGTCAGACATTCATGTGGGGGTCATAATGTCATGTGGGGGGAGGCATATTGTGTGGGGGTCATAATGTCGTGTGGGGGTCATAATGTGTGTGTGTGTGGGGGAAGGGGCATATTGGTGGGGGTCAGACATTCATGTGGGGGTCATAATGTCATGTGGGGGGAGGGATATTGTGTGGGGGTCATAATGTCGTGTGGGGGTCATAATGTCGTGTGGGGGGGAGGAGCATATTGGTGGGGGTCACAATGTCGTGTGGGGGTCATAATGTCGTGTGGGGGTCATAATGTCGTGTGGGGGTCATAATGTCGTGTGGGGGTTATAATGTGTGGGGGTCATAATGTCATGTGGGGGTCATAATATCATGTGGGGGTCATAATGTCATGTGGGGGTCATAATGTCATATGGGGGTCATAATGTCGTGTGGGGGTTATAATGTGTGGGGGTCATAATGTCATGTGGGGATCAGACAGTCATGTGGGGGTCAGACAGTCATGTCTGTGTCTGTGTATGTGTGTGTCTGTGTGTGTGTGTGTCTTTTGGGGGTCAGGTTAGTTTTATAAAATACTATATAGAGAAACCTTTTTCAGATATGATGGTCTAACAGTTTCCATATTCTCAACATTTACATGAAATATTCAACCTTCCATTAGACACCCTATATTTAAATGTCATTCTGGAATATACCACACTTTTTTAAATGTCATACTTAGTTCCTTCAGTAGAACCGATGATAGGGGATTTTGGCTTACAGTACCGTCAGAGTAGAGTCATGGTGTGGAGAATTAGATGGCTTACAGTACCGTCAGAGTAGAGTCGTGATGTGGAGAATTAGCTGGCTTACAGTACCGTCAGATACATGGTGTGGAGAATGAGATGGCTTACAGTACCGTCAGAGTAGAGTCATGGTGTGGAGAATTAGATGGCTTACAGTACCGTCAGATACATGGTGTGGAGAATGAGATGGCTTACAGTACCGTCAGAGTAGAGTCATGGTGTGGAGAATTAGATGGCTTACAGTACCGTCAGAGTAGAGTCATGGTGTGGAGAATTAGATGGCTTACAGTACCGTCAGAGTAGAGTCGTGAGGCCACATCGGCCAGCTGACCATTGAGGTGGTCGATTTTGTTGGCCAGTAGCTTGATGGTCATCGTAAAGTTGGCCAGTTTTTTCTCCACTTCTAGGTTGGAATATGATTGGTTGTTGACTTCTGCTGCCATGACCTGTGTCAAACAGGACGAGAGAATGTAGTTTCTGGAGATAAATCACTCACTCAGTGACACGATGTGACCAATGAAAAACGTGCCACGTGATACGATGTGACCAATGAAAAACGTACCACGTGACACGATGTGACCAATGAAAAACGTGCCACGTGACACGATGTGACAAATGAAAAACGTGCCACGTGACACGATGTGACCAATGAAAAACGTGACACGTGACACGATGTGACCCATGAAAAACGTGCCACGTGACACGATGTGACCAATGAAAAACGTGACACGATGTGACCAATGAAAAACGTGCCACGTGACACGATGTGACCAATGAAAAACGTGACACGTGACACGATGTGACCAACGTACCTCCCTGGCGACGACCTGCTCTTTGAATGCCATCTCCTGCAGACGTAGCCTGTGCGCCAGGTCTGAGATGACCATCTGCCACGGGCACGTGTCGGGGATGGCCAGGCTGTTGGCCCTGACCAGCTCACACGTCGTGGCCACCGTCCTGTTGGCCAACGTCAGGTAGGCGTACACCAGCCCCAGCAGGCACGCGGCCAGGGCCACAAGCCTGGGGACGGGGAGGGGATGTTCAGCTAGTGGTGTTTGTAGGGGTGGGGGTGGGGGTGGTGGTGACTGTTGGGGTGGGGGTGTCTGTTGGGGTGGTGGTGTCTGTTGGGGTGGGGGTGTCTGTTGGGGTGGTGGTTTCTGTTGGGGTGGGGGTGGGGGTGGTGGTGACTGTTGGGGTGGGGGTGTCTGTTGGGGTGGGGTGTCTGTTGGGTGGGGGTGATAATGTCTGTTGGGGTGGGGTGTCTGTTGGGGTGGGGTGTCTGTTGTGTTGGGGGTGTCTGTTGGGGTGGGGTGTTTCTTGGGGTGGGGGTGACTGTTGGGGTGGGGGTGTCTGTTGGGGTGGGGGTGTCTGTTGGGGTGGTGGTGTCTGTTGGGGTGGGGGTGTCTGTTGGGGTGGTGGTGTCTGTTGGGGTGGGGTGTCTGTTGAGGTGGGGATGTCTGTTGGGGTGGGGTGACTGTTGGGGTGGTGGTGTCTGTTGGGGTGGGGTGTCTGTTGGGGTGGTGGTGTCTGTTGGGGTGGGGGTGGGGTGTTTGTTGGGATGGGGATGTCTGTTTGGGTGGGGTGTCTGTTGGGGTGGTGGTGTCTGTTGGGGTGGGGGTGTCTGTTGGGGTGATGGGTGGGGGTGGGGGTGTCTGTTGGGGTGGGGGTGTTTGTTGGGGTGGGTGTATCTGTTGGGGTGATGGTGTCTGTTGGGGTGGGGTGTCTGTTGGGGTGGGGTGTTTGTTGGGGTGGGGGTGTCTGTTGGGGTGATGGGTGGGGTTGTCTGTTGGGGTGGGGGTGTTTGTTGGGGTGGGTGTATCTGTTGGGGTGATGGTGTCTGTTGGGGTGGGGGTGGGGGTGACTGTTGGGGTGATGGTGTCTGTTGGGGTGGGGGTGGGGGGTGACTGTTGGGGTGGGGGTGACTGTTGGGGTGGGGGTGTCTGTTGGGGTGGGGGTGTCTGTTGGGGTGTGGTGTTTGTTGGGGTGGGGGTGTCTATTGGTGTGATGGTGTCTGTTGGGGTGATGGGTGGGGGTGTGGGTGTCTGTTGGGGTGGTGGTGTTTGTTGGGGTGGGGGTGTCTGTTGGGGTGGGGTGTCTGTTGGGGTGGGGTGTTTGTTGGGGTGGGGGTGTCTGTTGGGGTGATGGGTGGGGGTGGGTGTGTCTGTTGGGGTGGGGGTGTTTTTTGGGGTGGGTGTATCTGTGGGGGTGATGGTGTCTGTTGGGGTGGTGGTGTCTGTTGGGGTGGGGGTGACTGCTGGGGTGGGGGTGTCTGTTGGGGTGGGGGTGTCTTTTGGGGGGGTGTCGTGTGTGTGTGTCTGTTGGGGTGGTGGTGTCTGTTGTGGTGGGGGTGTTTGTTGAAGTATCAGACATACACAAACAGCAAGCTGTAACGTGACCATACTCGCAAAGTATCAGAATCTCTCTCTCTCTCTCTCACACACACACAGACACAGACACACACAGACAGACACACACACAGACACACACACAAACGTGAACGTGAGATAAAAAAGTTCACGTACCCAGCTCTCTTCCAGTGGTGGAGACACGCCTCCTTCACCAGAAGCCATGTTGTATAGACCCAGTGGTCTCCCATCTCACTAGAAATCTCTGACAATAATCCTTGGATTATCCATCTTATGGCCTTGTCGATGAACACAATCGGTTATTTCACGGTTGTAGTGGTGATCACATTGATTGTTTACATGTCTGCATGACAGGCCAACATTACCCCCGGCACATCTTAGCCTTGCCGTCACCCGGCACAACTTAGCCTTGCCGTCACCGAGGCCGCCGGTCTGCCATCGATTGCTCCAAAGATTTATCGTCCTCCTTTAACTGGCCAAAAGTTGTCTCAGGGATCCACAATCAGGAAGTTGCTCAATCTGACATAACAGGCTAACGTACAGTCGGATGTAGCATGATGCAACAAGTTTAATTCTGTCGGAAAGAACGGGATACAACCAATTTACTGCATGGGTGTCGATATATATTTCTTTATATCTAAGATGGGTAGTACAAAAATGATATGAAAACCTGTATTTCAAGATAAGATGAGTGCTCTTATTGTATGTTTATATTTTGTGATTATTTGATAATTTTCACTCCTTTAATCAAGAAACCGAAAAAAAACAACATGAAATTTGTTCAATTTCTTTCAAATATTACATTTATATTTAAACTAGCCGTACCGGCGAGGCCTTGCACTGGCATTTGAGATAAACTTAGCTGCAAAGGGCCGTGACTTGTGAGTTCATTAAGCAGCATATACATATACAATTTTCAAATAAGATCTATGTGTAAATATAGACGCTTGAGAAAATAAAATCACAAACGCAAACATAAACGCAAACATAAACATACACGCAAAACATAAACTCAAACGCAAACTTAAACGCAAACATAAACACAAACTTAAACGCAAACATAGACGCATTCATAAATGAAACTTAAACAAAGAAATAAACGCAGACATAATATCACAAACACACAAATAGCACAACATTGAATACCCACCCACTCGTGCACACAACTAAGCACACAATCACCCCACCTATCCACATTCTAAATTTGAGCGACATCCTTATTCAAACATATACATTTACAAACCTTAGATATCGAATAAAGCTATAGATTTAAAAATTGACCTAGATCTACGCATACCCCTCACCCCCTCACCCAGTTGTTAAGGGCACAGAGAAATTCCGCCGAGAGAATGTAATTTGTGCCCCAGAAATCAATAATGACATCTCGCTCGTCGGATCTTGGTTGTGTTGATGAAAAATAGAGCCGGGCCGATAGGCGGCCTTACGGGAGGCCAGTGTATATAAATGGCTAGATGCATTGGTCAACTGATGCATTGGTCAACTGTTTGACGTTTGACACATTGATCAACTGTTTCAGGTTTGACACATTAGTCAACTGTTTCACGTTTGACACATTGGTCAACTGTTTCACGTTTGACACATTGGTCAGCTGTTTCACGTTTGACACATTAGCCAACTGTTTCACGTTTGACACATTAGTCAACTGTTTCACGTTTGGTCAACTGTTTCACGTTTGACACATTGGTCAACTGTTTCACGTTTGACACATTGGTCAACTGTTTGATGCATTGGTTGATCGATGCCAACATCTGGACAGAAACTTTAGCCAAGTTGGTAGATTTGAACATTAGCCAAGTGGTCAAGGAATTATTAAATGTAACTCTGTTCTGAAAGGTGGAACATTCTGAATAACTGCCTACATATTACTAAATTATTGGTCTTGCATGTCAGATCTTTTATTTAGCTACTGTTTTTTGTGTTATTTAAAGATCAATTTTAACATAATGGTAAGATATGGGTTGGATCACTATATTGATCACACACCTCTTTACTGGTAATTGCAAAAACAATATTTACAGAATTTTCCCGTGTTTTAAAACCTATGATTCTGGCGGCATGGTACTTTGGTACCTCATTATGCGTTTTCCCAAATGCACTTAACAAATCAGTTCGTGTGGGTTTATGAGGCGGGGGGGGGGGGGGGGGGGGGTTCAACTTCATTCACCACTGTCCGGTCACTTTAGGTCAGTTATCCTACCAGCATACACCTAGGTGTGACATTAATGTCTACACAATTACGGCCTGTCCCGTTTTAGGTGGTGAGGTGTGTGTGTGTGGGGGGTGGGGGGGGGGGGGGGGAAACTAACTCAGAGTGAACATAGCGTCAGTTTTTAGATGCCTTGTCTAAAAATACATATACAATTATACATATTTACTTGTTCAGAAGCAGATTTAAAGAAGTAACAAAGGTATTATGACAGCAACCCATTTTTACCGAGGGTTCCCCCCTACCCCCCCCCCCCCCCCCCCCCGCCTACGCCTCTGGGTCAAGGTATGGTTAAATGTGACCCCTGGGTAGTTGGACAGGTTTTGTTGCTACAAGATGAACACGAACGCTAGTATACGGGGAAATAAAAATGGTGACAACAAACACAAAAAAAAAAAAAAAAAATTAAACACACAAGTTGTGAATATTTTTAAAATGACGGTTTGCAAATCCTCTACTACTTTTCCATTCTTCCCTGAAAAAATTTTCCAAAAAATTCTAAATTTGAGTGTTGCACAGAATGTTTACTGAAAATTTTTACAAGCTAACGGTTTGTGTTGGTTTTGGTAAGACCGTAAGGAGGGACCACCGTGGTCAGCCTGCCTTCCACATGGTGCTGCCCACACTACCACACGCCACGGGTCTATACAAACCTGACACGGGTCTATACAAACCTGACACGGGTCTATACAAACACAAACCTGACACGGGTCTATACAAACACAAACCTGACACGGGTCTATACAAACACAAACCTGACACGGGTCTATACAAACACAAACCTGACACGGGTCTATACAAACCTGACACGGGTCTATACAAACCTGACACGGGTCTATACAAACACAAACCTGACACGGGTCTATACAAACACAAACCTGACACGGGTCTATACAAACACAAACCTGACACGGGTCTATACAAACACAAACCTGACACGGGTCTATACAAACACAAACCTGACACGGGTCTATACAAACCTGTCACGGGTCTATACAAACACAAACCTGACACCGGTTTATACAAACCTGACACGGGTCTATACAAACACAAACCTGACACGGGTCTATACAAACACAAACCTGACACGGGTCTACACAAACACAAACCTGACACGGGTCTATACAAACCTGACACGGGTCTATACAAACCTGACACGGGTCTATACAAACACAAACCTGACACGGGTCTATACAAACCTGACACGGGTCTATACAAACACAAACCTGACACGGGTCTATACAAACCTGACACGGGTCTATACAAACACAAACCTGACACGGGTCTATACAAATCCGACACGGGCCTATACAAACACAAACCTGACACGGGTCTATACAAACACAAACCTGACACTGGTCTATACAAACACAAACCTGACACGGGTCTATAAAAACCTGACACGGGTCTATACAAACACAAACCTGACACTGGTCTATACAAACACAAACCTGACACGGGTCTATAAAAACCTGACACGGGTCTATACAAACCTGACACGGGTCTATACAAACACAAACCTGACACGGGTCTATACAAACCTGACACGGGTCTATACAAACCTGACACGGGTCTATACAAACCTGACACGGGTCTATACAAACACATACCTGACACGGGTCTATACAAACCTGACACGGGTCTATACAAACACAAACCTGACACAGGTCTATACAAACCTGAGGCAATGAACACACGATAGCAGCGACCAATCGATACGAGCGATCGATCCTTACTAATCGATGAGATCAGAAAGAACTCGCCATCCTATCCAAGCTGAGTCGAAGATGTTCGATCACACACTAGAAGGTGGTCAAGTCCCCCCCACACACTAGAAGGTGGTTGTGTAGTGAGAGAAACACACGACACTCCACACCCGGCCTCCCCCTCCACTGGCGGCACGACTGGACAGACGATGTGACGTCATCGGCGGATAGTTCTCTCCCCTCAGACTGACGTCCGGGGGCGCTACACGGGCTGTCAGTGATCTCGTCCTCCCTCACTTGGACCTATCATAGCACATCATCACCACACATAACCACCTCACATTTCTCACCACCACACATTACCACCCCAAATCACCATCCCACACCACCACCCCACATCACCACCCCACATCACCACCCCAAATCACCACCCCACATCACCACACATCACCACCACACATCACCACACATCACCACCCCACATCACCACCCCAAATCACCACCACACATCACCACCACACATCACCACACATCACCACCACACATCACCACACATCACCACCCCACATCACCACCCCAAATCACCACCGCACATCACCACACATCACCACCACACATCACCACACATCACCACCCCACATCACCACCACACACCACCACCACACATCACCACCACACATCACCACCACACACCACCACCACACATCACCACCCCACATCACCGCCCCCATCCCCCCATCACCACCACACATCACCACCACACATCACCACACACCACCACCACACATCACCACACACCACCACCCCACATGACCACCCCACATGACTACCCCACATCACCACCACCCCACATCACCACACACCACCACCCCACATCACCACCCCACATCACCACCCCACATCACCACTACCCCACATCACCACACACCACCACCCCACATCACCACCCCACATCACCACCCCACATCACCACCACACATCACCACACACCACCACCACACATCACCACACATCACCACCCCACATCACCACCCCACATCACCACCACACATCACCACCCCACACCACCACCACACATCACCACACATCACCACACATCACCACACACCACCACCACACATCACCACACACCACCACCCCACATGACCACCCCACATGACTACCCCACATCACCACCACCCCACATCACCACACACCACCACCCCACATCACCACCCCACATCACCACCCCACATCACCACACACCACCACCCCACATCACCACCCCACATCACCACCCCACATCACCACCACACATCACCACACACCACCACCACACATCACCACACATCACCACCCCACACCACCACCACACATCACCACACATCACCACACATCACCACACATCACCCCACATCACCACCCCACATCACCACCCCACATCACCACCCCACATCACCACCCCACATCACCACCCCACATCACCACCCCACATCACCACCCCACACCACCACCACACATCACCACCCCACACCACCACCACACATCACCACCACACATCACCACACATCACCACCACACATCACCACCACACATAACCGCCCCCATCCCCATCCCCCATCACCACCGCCCCCCATCCCCCCATCCCCACCCCACACCACCACCACACATCACCGCCCCCATTCCCCCATCACCACCTTACACACACAGGCAGACGATACCAGGCTAAAAAAGAGCGATGAATGACAGAATTTTATTTACAATAATTTATCCTGACGTGGGGGTGTGGATTTGTGGCATTGTTTTTTTTTGTGATAAGTAAACAATTGGTGACAGAACTAGGAAATTGGATTTTTGCCCAATAATTATGAGTTAATTATAAGTTAATTCCCTTTGGTAATTCGTATATAATTTTCAAAAATCCTTAAAAAGCCCAACAGTATTGTAAATTTATTATTATAGTTTGTGAACAATTAACCATATTTTAGAAAAATACTAAATTTTATTTTAAAAATTCATAATGACTTAAAACAAATATTATCTTTTAAAAACACATATTTCGAAACCCATAGCTTTTTAAAATTATTTTTAATACATGAAGGCAGGAAAAATCGTTACATGCATGCCTTAAACTAATGAGTAAGGAAAATAACGAGCCTGGGTAATTACAGGCTCCCAGACAACCAGTTCTGGAAGAATTTCTACAGGGGCACAGGTCGCCCCCATGGTGACCCACCTACTCTTGTGGGATGCCTGGGTTGAGTGATCTGCCCTCAAAATTAACAATGTAATGAGTTGTGTGGGAATAAGTCATGAGCTCACGCCTAATTTTAATTAACATTTCAAATTTGTGTTAATCTGTCCCGTCCCAAGCATCAACTCCTCATTACAAGGTAACAATCAATATATTTATTTATATATGAAATAGTGAAAGTATGTGTGTGTCCTATATGCATTATTATATCTATCACACCTTCGCCGTTAAACTGGAAAGTTCTTGAGAATACTCATGGTATGGTTTCTGCAAAAAAAAAAATCTAAATTTCGCCCCCCCCCCCCCCCCCACCCACCCCAGGATTCAAAGGCTCAAAAAGGCTCCTAAGGAACCCAGTATAAAAAATTCGGGCTTATTGTTGAATTGTGAATATTTAGAGGAATTAACCAGGCTTAAATTATTTTGCAAAAATATTAACTTGGTTGTCTCCCTTTGTCCATAAAAATTCTGTAACAAACTGAGTGTGATGGGCCTACTGTTCTAAAATAATGATTAGTAGTCCCTTAAATCTCGAGTTTCGCCAGAAAAGCTACATTTAAAAAATAAAGATTTGTAATCTATCTATGCATGTAAAAATAAGCTACTCAGCCTTTGAGACATTGGTTGAGATTACTTTTTGGGACGTTCGAATGGCAGGCTCCCTTGTAGGATGCAATTTTAGCGCCCACGATAACCAGCGAGCTTTATGGCGCCTACATCTATTTTAAACAGCACAATGGCGTAGGGTCACGGTAGACCATGCCATTCAATGGTCCAACCAGGGGCCGTATTCGGTGCCCCTGTTCAAATGTAACCTGTGGCTTCCAAGAGCGCCCCGCGAACCCCCTGACATATGGGCGGTCGTCAAAGGGTGTCTCAACCGCACTATTACGGAGGGCGACTAGTATCTCATAGATGTTACATTATTCGGCTCATGTTTGAGTTGCCAATGTAATCGTTTTAATAAAAAAAAGTGCATTTAGTATTTAGTCACATTAGGAGCCACATTTAGTCATCCAAAGGTCAAATTTAGTCACTATTTAGTCGAGACTGTAACATGTGCCACACGGAATTAGTTCGTTTCAAGTTTTCTTTATGCGCTTGGTTGGGGCGATGAAAATCATTACAAGCATGACGAACAGCTCTAGAATACATTAAGAACACATTGCGAAACATGCAGTGCACACGAAAAAAATCCTGTAGACCACATTTAAAAACCTGCATTACACATTTAGAAAACTGTAATGCACATTTAGAAACCTGCAGTACACATTTAATTAGACAAAACAAAACTAAAACAAGTCTATAGGTTGAATGAAAATAGTTTATTTCTGCAGATTTGATGAACAGGGACCTTATGAAGACCCACTGGTAGATTCGATCAACAGTGAGCTAGATAAGAGAATCAGGGCAAACATTGGATGTACTGAGGCAATCATTGCGGATCGAACTAGTGTTGGCAATTTTACTAGGTCAGGAGGTTTCCATTGACGTTCAGACCAAGTACGGAGTATGCATGTTGAGTCACACGTACAAACAACCACACAAACAGAAATACAATTTGTTTGATGGCAAAAACACACGCACACAAACAGAAATACAATTTTTTTGATGGCAAAAACACACACACACAAACAGAAACACAATTAGTTTGATGGTTGAAAAAAACTTTTTCTTCCATGACAATAATTTTTGAGAAGTAGTGTCTAATGTGCGTGTGTGTGTATGCGTGTGTGTGTGTATGTGTGTGTGTGTGTGTGTCGATCTATTTTAATTTTAGTATAGATGTGGAGATTTGAGATCAGCCGATGTTGTTGACTCATCAGAGGCGGTTCCCTCTACAACTGCCCCAGGGGCGGCCCCCCACCAACAACTCTGAAGGTCACATGATAGGGCGCCACCTTCAGGTCTACAAAATCTCTCGTGTTCAAACATTGCAGCACAACGACCTACTTTGTGATGGTTGATGTCAACCCATGTCGGCTATAAATAAAACTGATGGAGGGTGATCGACGGTATGCTGTAAATAAAAAGTAAATTATAAGTGACTCTAAAGGATAAACTCACGGGGTGAAACTAGCTCTACTTCCCACGGTTACACGAGCAGTAAGGAAACATTTGTTTGTAAGTGGCTCTGAAGGAAGAACTCATGGAGAGAAATACGAACAAGCCAACGGCACCGTTGAGGTAGTCGAAGAAAAAGACGATGTATGCCATGGCTGAGGCGAGGTTGTGGTACTGCCGGAGGTAGTAGTACTCTCGTATGAAGTACTTGGCCAGGTAGTGGGCGCACCTCGGGCTCAGGTTGATGATGTACAGCACGATGATTACCAGCAACATTTTCACCACTTTTTGGTCACGGGTCGACATCGGTTTAGCGCTGGGTTTATCTTTAGGGGTGAGGCTTGGTTTAACCTTAGGGTTATGCAGTGTGCTCGCGTTGGGCTTAGTGTTATCGGAAGCTGCATGATTCGACTGGGTTGTCCCCCCGTGGTTGTACTGGTTGCGAAATTTCGAAGCTTTCCGTAGGTTGGTAGAGATGATGAGAGCTGAGACGACGATGACGACAAGACTGGCCAGTGGCCAGAGCGTGCCCGACAGGTTGTAGTAGCCGAACAGCTCGGCGCTGTGGCTGGTGGAGAAGGCGTTGTACTGGTAGACGGCGATGGTGGAGTTGTAGCGGGGGTCCCACACCCACACCACGTCGTAGATACCGAAAATGACAGCGAAGCAGCCGAAGACGACAAAGGAGATGACGCCGCACACGATGAAGGAGACCTTGGGGGTGAGCATCCACTTGACCTTGAGGGGCATGGTGACACAGAGGCACCTCTCCACGGCCACATAGGAGGCCAGCACGCTGGCCACGTAGGTGGAGAAGGAGACCAGGTAGTTGAAGATGACCAGGCTGATGTTGGACCAGCTGGCCGCGCTGGACGGGGACCAGATCCCGATAGGGCCGGCCATTCTTTGCATGGCGCCCCCCAGACTCTTGACCAGGTCCCAGGCGGCGATGGTTGTCATGGAGATACCGACGCTGTCCTTGAACCCTTGTTTAGTGAAGACGGTTATGACGATAACGTTTGAGAAAATGCCGATGAAAGCGATGATAAAATTAAATGTCATGTCGATGATGATTTCCATCATCCTTCGTTGGGCTTCTGTCATCAAAATGTCAGGGGGAACGAACTCCACATTTACCAACTGTCCAGAGTTCTCCTTAATTATTTCAGTTGACATATTTTTCATTTCCGACATTTTCAATTCAACTTTAATAAAGAAAAACAGCTACGACTAAATTGTGTTGGTATGTGACGTTGATCACATGACATGCATGCGTGACGTAGATAAATTGTTGGAAAACAAGTTCCGAAATGTGCAAATAGCACATGTACATGGGCCAGCGCATGTAGACAAACCTAACACCAACCTGCGGATTTAGACAAACCTAACATCAACTAGCGGATGTAGACAAACCTAACATCAACCTGCGGATTTAGACAAACCTAACATCAACTAGCGGATGTAGACAAACCTAACACCAACCAGCGGAGGGATATGTATCTAGCATCAGCTTGTGGAAGCACCACTGAGGTTATAATTTATATCGACAAAGAGCGGATCTCTAAGTTTATTTCATCACAATAGATTTATCTTACAACGTATTCCATTAAATTAGCGTAAATTAAAAAAAATAAAATAATTGCCTCTCATTAGCTTTCTAAACATTAGTAGAGCAATATTTAATTACGATGCAATAATTAGTGTTGATCGATCAATGCATAAACATGTGTATTAACCAAGCCCTAATCTTAAAACTTTGCCCTCGCCCCTCGCCTATTATAATTATGCTTTAAGAAAATAACAATTCATTGTGTGTTTAAACTATTTTCTGTTACTTCTCAAACTAAACCCTCAGCGGTAAAATTTAGCAAACAAGCACCAACTTACGTGGCTAAAAATAATTGCCCGATCCTAGTGAAATAATTTGTTAACCAATCATAGAGCGTTAGTGTAAACTTGCAACGTCACGGTAATTAGAATGTACACAATAAGGTTGGCTCAATTTTTTTTTCCGCTGTTTAAATCGAACTAAAAATATACGAACATTATTTGAGTTAATTAGATTGGTATGAGAAAAAAAATGGGGTTTGAATGAGCTGAAATTTATTTGTGAATTCGGTTTTAAAAGGGCACTTTAGAAAACACTTTATTAACTCGCTGCCCGTGGACGGAATCGGAATAGAGTGTTGACCTGAGTGTTGTACTTATGTGCTAACCTTTTAATTATGTATTGACCTTCATTTAACGATGTAATTATGTATTGACCTTCATTTAACGATGTAATTATGTACTGACCATCACTTAATGATGTAATTATGTACTGACCATCTCCAGACAGAGACGAAGAATATTATGCCAGTTATGGGATCTTCCATCCAGCAAAGTTTACAATTAGATTTAGTTGAGGAAGTTGGTTCAGTGTGGTAGTTGTGTACCAACTGTAGTCAGTGTGGTAGTTGTGTACCAACTGTAGTCAGTGGTAGTTGTGTACCAACTGTAGTCAGTGGTAGTTGTGTACCAACTGTAGTCAGTGTGGTAGTTTTGTACCAACTGTGGTCAGTGTGGTAGTTGTGTACCTACTGTGGTCAGTGTGGTAGTTGTGTATCAACTGTGGTCAGTGTGGTAGTTGTGTACCAACTGTAGTCAGTGATAGTTGTGTACCAACTGTGGTCAGTGTGGTAGTTTTGTACCAACTGTGGTCAGTGTGGTAGTTGTGTACCTACTGTGGTCAGTGATAGTTGTGTACCAACTGTGGTCAGTGGTAGTTGTGTACCAACTGTGATCAGTGTGGTAGTTGTGTACCAACTGTGGTCAGTGTGGTAGTTGTGTACCTACTGTGGTCAGTGATAGTTGTGTACCAACTGTGGTCAGTGGTAGTTGTGTACCAACTGTGGTCAGTGTGGTAGTTGTGTACCAACTGTAGTCAGTGTGGTAGTTGTGTACCAACTGTGGTCAGTGGTAGTTGTGTACCAACTGTAGTCAGTGTGGTAGTTGTGTACCAACTGTAGTCAGTGGTAGTTGTGTACCAACTGTGGTCAGTGTGGTAGTTGTGTACCAACTGTAGTCAGTGGTAGTTGTGTACCAACTGTGGTCAGCGTGGTAGTTGTGTACCAACTGTGGTCAGTGTGGTAGTTGTGTACCAACTGTAGTCAGTGGTAGTTGTGTACCAACTGTGGTCAGTGGTAGTTGTGTACCAACTGTAGTCAGTGGTAGTTGTGTACCAACTGTGGTCAGTGTGGTAGTTGTGTACCAACTGTGTTCAGACACGGGTCTATACAAACACAAACCTGACACGGGTCTATACAAACACAAACCTGACACGGGTCTATACAAACCTGACACGGGTCTATACAAACCTGACACGGGTCTATACAAACACAAACCTGACACGGGTCTATACAAACACAAACCTGACACGGGTCTATACAAACCTGACACGGGTCTATACAAACCTGACACGGGTCTATACAAACACAAACCTGACACGGGTCTATACAAACACAAACCTGACACGGGTCTATACAAACACAAACCTGACACGGGTCTATACAAACACAAACCTAACACGGGTCTATACAAACCTGACACGGGTCTATACAAACACAAACCTGACACGGGTCTATACAAACACAAACCTGACACGGGTCTATACAAACACAAACCTGACACGGGTCTATACAAACCTGACACGGGTCTTTACAAACACAAACCTGACACGGGTCTATACAAACACAAACCTGACACGGGTCTATACAAACACAAACCTGACACGGGTCTATACAAACACAAACCTAACACGGGTCTATACAAACCTGACACGGGTCTATACAAACACAAACCTGACACGGGTCTATACAAACACAAACCTGACACGGGTCTATACAAACACAAACCTGACACGGGTCTATACAAACCTGACACGGGTCTATACAAACACAAACCTGACACGGGTCTATACAAACACAAACCTGACACGGGTCTATACAAACCTGACACGGGTCTATACAAACACAAACCTGACACGGGTCTATACAAACACAAACCTGACACGGGTCTATACAAACACAAACCTGACACGGGTCTATACAAACACAAACCTGACACGGGTCTATACAAACACAAACCTGACACGGGTCTATACAAACCTGACACGGGTCTATACAAACCTGACACGGGTCTATACAAACCTGACACGGGTCTATACAAACACAAACCTGACACGGGTCTATACAAACACAAACCTGACACGGGTCTATACAAACACAAACCTGACACGTGTCTATACAAACACAAACCTGACACGTGTCTATACAAACACAAACCTGACACGGGTCTATACAAACACAAACCTAACACGGGTCTATACAAACCTGACACGGGTCTATACAAACACAAACCTGACACGGGTCTATACAAACACAAACCTGACACGGGTCTATACAAACACAAACCTGACACGGGTCTATACAAACCTGACACGGGTCTATACAAACACAAACCTGACACGGGTCTATACAAACACAAACCTGACACGGGTCTATACAAACACAAACCTGACACGGGTCTATACAAACCTGACACGGGTCTATACAAACCTGACACGGGTCTATACAAACACAAACCTGACACGGGTCTATACAAACACAAACCTGACACGGGTCTATACAAACACAAACCTGACACGGGTCTATACAAACCTGACACGGGTCTATACAAACCTGACACGGGTCTATACAAACACAAACCTGACACGGGTCTATACAAACACAAACCTGACACGGGTCTATACAAACACAAACCTGACACGGGTCTATACAAACACAAACCTGACACGGGTCTATACAAACACAAACCTGACACGGGTCTATACAAACCTGACACGGGTCTATACAAACACAAACCTGACACGGGTCTATACAAACACAAACCTGACACGGGTCTATACAAACCTGACACGGGTCTATACAAACACAAACCTGACACGGGTCTATACAAACACAAACCTGACACGGGTCTATACAAACACAAACCTGACACGGGTCTATACAAACCTGACACGGGTCTATACAAACCTGACACGGGTCTATACAAACACAAACCTGACACGGGTCTATACAAACACAAACCTGACACGGGTCTATACAAACACAAACCTGACACGGGTCTATACAAACACAAACCTGACACGGGTCTATACAAACACAAACCTGACACGGGTCTATACAAACCTGACACGGGTCTATACAAACACAAACCTGACACGGGTCTATACAAACACAAACCTGACACGGGTCTATACAAACCTGACACGGGTCTATACAAACACAAACCTGACACGGGTCTATACAAACCTGACACGGGTCTATACAAACACAAACCTGACACGGGTCTATACAAACACAAACCTGACACGGGTCTATACAAACACAAACCTGACACGGGTCTATACAAACACAAACCTGACACGGGTCTATACAAACCTGACACGGGTCTATACAAACCTGACACGGGTCTATACAAACACAAACCTGACACGGGTCTATACAAACACAAACCTGACACGGGTCTATACAAACACAAACCTGACACGGGTCTATACAAACCTGACACGGGTCTATACAAACCTGACACGGGTCTATACAAACACAAACCTGACACGGGTCTATACAAACACAAACCTGACACGGGTCTATACAAACACAAACCTGACACGGGTCTATACAAACACAAACCTGACACGGGTCTATACAAACACAAACCTGACACGGGTCTATACAAACACAAACCTGACACGGGTCTATACAAACCTGACACGGGTCTATACAAACACAAACCTGACACGGGTCTATACAAACCTGACACGGGTCTATACAAACACAAACCTGACACGGGTCTATACAAACCTGACACGGGTCTATACAAACACAAACCTGACACGGGTCTATACAAACACAAACCTGACACGGGTCTATACAAACACAAACCTGACACGGGTCTATACAAACCTGACACGGGTCTATACAAACCTGACACGGGTCTATACAAACACAAACCTGACACGGGTCTATACAAACACAAACCTGACACGGGTCTATACAAACACAAACCTGACACGGGTCTATACAAACACAAACCTGACACGGGTCTATACAAACACAAACCTGACACGGGTCTATACAAACACAAACCTGACACGGGTCTATACAAACCTGACACGGGTCTATACAAACACAAACCTGACACGGGTCTATACAAACCTGACACGGGTCTATACAAACACAAACCTGACACGGGTCTATACAAACCTGACACGGGTCTATACAAACACAAACCTGACACGGGTCTATACAAACAC